ATTTTGAAGGAACATAAAAATTGATTTTTTTAATTAAATATATGCTTGATCAAGAGATGATATCGGATTTAATATTAAATTATTATTATTATTATTATTATTTAGATAAGAGATATTAAAGCTTTTAGACAAACAAATTTACAAATTTATTGATAAAAATAGACAATGAAGAGCTATAGAAGATTTAAATTATTCACATGAATAATTGTAACAACTTAGACTGAAAAATTTAACAACTATGATCCGTGATATGTTCATGGAATAAATGAAATGAAATTTTACCTTTTCATTTTTTATAACTTTATTTACCATTTAATCAACTTTAATTTACAACTTTCCTAAAACATCTTTAGTCAAACCAACACAATGAACTATTACATTTATGAAATTAAAAACCTAAAGTAGGAACAAAACATTAAATTATTCATTTAACATTCTTGATTTGTTGCTAGGATAAAAGAATAAGCCTTTAAAGAACAAGTTTAGATAATTTCTATCTAAATCATTTTTACATAGAAGGGGAAGTGCAAAAATAATTTGAAGCTTATTAATAAAATAGGAATAAAGTTGTGAATTTTCTTCACATCACTAAGCTTATATATCCAAATCTTCAGTATTCCACCTTATTTTTAACATTGGTATCCTAGATAGTGAAACAGTAGTACAAGGATGGTAGCGTAGTGCAATTTGAACTTTAAACCTAATACTTTATTCCTGTCGTTTCTTAATTTCTCTAGTGGTTGCTATTAGTACCACAAGCGTCATGTAGAATAAATCCGTTTGCTGGAATGACTTAATATTCGTTTGCGTGTTTTCTTCTTTAGCAGATCTCTTGTTACAGCAAATAAAAATTTTAAAATAGTTTCTGCTCTTGAGCTTCGGTCAAGGCATTTTTGACAGACTTGAAAACAGTTTCGGGATCTTCATTTGCAAAGATCTGCCTGACTTTACCGAGGCCGCGATAATGATTTATAATCGCCATTGTGTCATTCATGTAAGTGTCAAACCGTTTTTTAAGACTCTCCATATTATCGTCAGTGCGACCACTTCCTGCTTGACCTCGCTTTAAACATCGCTCAACACACTTATCCTGAGAGCATTCAAAGAAAAGAACGAAAAGAAAATCGACCTTTTCAGACATTTGTCTTTGCCATCCTTGCAAATTGTCTTCGTTTCGGGGAAATCCATCGATAAGAAATTTGTTGTTACCCGTTTCCTTAAAAGAAAAAATCAATCATGATTTGAAAAAAGTGTTGCATAATATTTAATTGATTTAGTTTCATATATATATATAGAAACTGATTCAATATTTAATTCGAAATGATAAATGATGTCGTTAGCTGTAAGTCAGCGATTTGTTTCGACAATTAAATATTTCATTGAACCCTACCTGATTCGTTTTGATGATGGCATTTTCTAAAAGACTACATGTTATTTCTACTGGAACAATTTTGCCATTTGTTATGCAATCCTCTATTAGGGATCCAAATTGTGATCCTTCTCGTGCTCGTTCTTCCCTCAACAAATCACCTGCTGATAAATGCTTGAATCCAAAGGAATTAACAATTTTTTCGCATTGAGTACCCTTGCCAGCACCTTTTATAGATAATTAAACGTAAAATATTTTATGACAAATAACTTGAAAGTCTTAATAATAGTTGAAATTGAATATTTACCAGGAGCACCAAGAACAAAAATAATTTTCGGCTTGTTGTTTTCCATTTTTCTCAAAATAAATTTATTTCCCGATAATGGTGATAAGGTAACGTGGCGTTTAAAGCACTTTACTACAAGTTTAGTCTTGAGTAGTTGATTTAAGACTAATGAGTAGCACGTTTACAAAGAGGGAAGAAGAAAAAATTAAAAAATTATCGATATTTTTAATGGTTTTTCACCGAACGACACAAACACAAACAAGAATATCACGGCTGTGCGTCAGCATGATTACAAAAGCGAATTATTTATATTAATCATTAAGTTAAAAGTATTATTTTTACCTGGGATCATTTTCAACGAAATATATTAATTCTGTTACTTTTCAACCTAATTTCATCATCTTCGTTTTTAATTGAAAATCTTTAGATTTAGTTTTATAAATATTCCAGACCGCGGCCAAGCGTTTAAGGAGCAAAATTGAAGCGTAAGAAGCGAAATTGAAGATAGGAGGAGGAACAGTCATATGAAGTTTTCTTTAGTTGCAAGACTATACTTAAGAGAGCAGTGCTGTCGTTAAAATTTTGGAGTTAAAAACTATCTTTAAAATAATATCCTGATAAAAAGAAAGAAAAGAAAACGATTCTGTTATTAAATTTTGATAAAATTAATTAAGTGCTGTAAGTTTAATTACAAAAAATTGTTTCTGCGCATAAAAACGATAAGAAAATACTTTGTTATTGTTATTTTGATTTGATGCTCTTTGTTTTGTTTTCTAAGCAAACAGAATGTCTACAGAGTAGCACTATTATATTTCAAAGTTTTCAACTTATTATTATAAGGATTCTTAAGAATTTGTTGGCATTATTTGATATTTAAAGTATTTTACTATAGCAAGTATCATATTTCATGAAATCCGGACTAATAAGTTATTTTATAAAATATTATCTAACGTTTAGCTCAAAAGAAAATGAAAGAATAGAAATATGTATTCAATAATATTTTATATGCAGTTTAGAAAAAAGAAGAGTTTATATTAATTCCAAACCTTACATTCATGTGTAAAAAAATAATTTTATCAAAAAACAACGAAACGCGATGACTCATGAGTTTGTCATGACATCAATCCTAAAAAGATTATCTGTAATTTAGAATGTAGAACCTACTCATTAATCTTTGATTATCGACCTTGAGCACTGATAACCTTTTCAACTCATTTCTCATATCTAGGTTGACCACTGTTTAAGTGATTCCCCAAAGATCCAGAATGCCGCTTCTGTATACAGTAATTTCACGAGGAAATACAATTCTGTGTAAATATGCGGATTGTGTGGGAAATTTTTCAGAAGTAACAGAGAATCTTATTAGCAAAATTCAACTTACAAACCACAAACTTACTTATACACATGGAAATTATTTGTTTCACTACATCTGTGCTGACAAACTTATTTACATGTGCATCACTGACGATGAATTTGAAAGATCCCGTGCTTTTCTGTTTTTAACAGAAATTAAAAAGAAATTCCTTTCAACTTATGGACTTACTGCTGCTACGGCTATTCCATATGCAATGAACACTGAGTTCTCAAGAGTAATAGCTAATGAGATGAAAGCTTGTAATGAGAGCAGAGAGTATGATTCGATCACAAGGGTTCATGGTCAAATTGACGAACTTAAGGATATTATGGTGAAGAATATTGAGAATGTGACCGCCCGTGGAGAGAGATTAGAACTTTTGGTGAACAAGTCAGAGAACCTTAGAGATAACGTTAGTATTTTATTGTATTTATTGTAATACATTCTTACTACTCATATTATTTGTAGGCTGTTTCATTCCGTCAAACTTCGAGGACGCTTGCTCGGACATTATTCTGGAGAAATGTTCGAATGTATTTGTTGCTAGGATTATTATTAATGTTCATTGTTTATATCGTAACTTCAATGTTTTGTGGCGGATTAACATGGTCATCGTGTCGATAAGGCAATTTCATTATGAACATTTATCTTACAGTTATTGTGTCTCATTTAATGTTTTTTCTATACATTATTATCTCTTTTATTTAAGTTTTCATATGAAAGTTAATTTGAATCGGAAGAAAAGATCGTATAATAAAATATAAGGATAGAAATATTTAAATCGTTTTACTATTTTTTAAAATGTGAGTGGAAGAACATGCGGCGTAATTTCATATTAAGTGCAACGCATTAACATTGCATTTGGGAGAGAATTCAAATATATACCAACATTTTATCACTTGTAGTGACAAAATGAAAAAGTTAAACATAAAGGGAAAACAAGAGTTGATGTGATTCGATTAAACATAAAGGCAAACAGGAAACACTGAAAATCTCCCTCGCGTGAATAAATTTCTCCCCTTCGTCTTTTGGGAAATCACATATTAAAATTCTAATGACGCAATTTTTTCTGTTTTCTTTGTTTGAAGATTGTAAACAAGACCAAGAATCATCAAAAAATTGCGATTCAATGTGTTGGGAGGAAAATTTTATCAAAATTCCTGAAAATTCCATCACAGAGAGAAAATTTAATTTGTTTCTCTTCTGGAAAGCTTTCTCTCTTTATAAAACATTTTTCCTGTTCTGCTGTTGCTATGGTAACTAATGTAACATCTAACATCAGACCGAGATATTGCTAAAATTTTATATTATTTTATCTGACGAATGAATAAAGTATGAAAAAATTTTTATTCTGTATTTTATTGAGTTACAAGTTTCTGCAATTAAAAATAATTCTCGAGGCTTGTCTTAGGCGATTATGTCAGTTGTAATTTAGTTGATCTCTACAGAATTTACTTGGTAGATAAGTAATTTGATTTCAACCCCTTTCTAACTCATGCCGTTCTTGAACATTAAATCTCACCAGAAACATATTTTTATACTCATTGTGATGCTGTGAGTTTGACGCCATCGATAACATTAAGAAGTATAAATTGGAAAACTCCGTAAATTTATAGCTAAGATGCTTTGAAAGAATAGGAGAAGAATGATCGAGAGAGAAATATAAAATGAACATTCATCATACAAACATTTATGTGCACGGGAAAATTCAAAACTCTCAGTATCGCTTCCAAAAGTCGAAAACGCATTCACGCCTCACAAACTATTTATGTTGCTTGTGTTGTCATACTGGTTCCATTATGTTTTACTCTCACTTGAAAATACAAAACACAACATTTTCACTCTCATTCTTGTCTGAGACGTTCTACTGGGAACATTGCGTGCGTTCTGTTTGCTGGAATTTAATTTTTTTTTCTATACCACATAGAGAAAACAATTTTTCATCAACTTTTACACTCGCTTCTGTGGGTGTAGTGAGAAAAAAGAAATAATAAGTGGAAGAATCATTTCAGGAAGTGCCGAAAATAATTTTCTACAACAGAATTGTTGCTTTTTTCTTTTCGCTAACAACATGTACTGTACGTGAATGGAACTATTGAAGAAAGTTGATTTAGTCGTTGATAAAAGAAATGAAAAGTGCATCTAGGAAATACTCAGACAAGATTTATAGATAATTTGTTTCTAATTATTTGCTTTTCAACTATTAACTGTAAGAATTAAAACTACCTAGTGAGAATTACTTACAGAGTATTCTACAATAGAACAAAAAAAAAATTCCCCCCGCAGTTACCGAAATTAAAAACTTCCGCTATTTAGTGGCATAAAACTCACGAAAGTTAAGCTAATAATTGAGATCAGTTTGTTACTGTGTGCAGATATTTCATGGCGAAATTAAATGTATAACTAAGTTAAAACTTTGCTATCGAAAGGTGCAGTTAAGAACGGAAAATTGTGAAACGTGGGCGTGACTAAGGAAAATTCAATTTTACTACCAGTTTTCCTTGAGCAGAAAGGAATTGGAACTCTCCAAAATATTTTGCAATCCTGAAGAGAATTAAGTGCTGTGAATTTGAATTATCTTAAAATATAATATGAAACTAAGACTAATTAATAATGATATGAATGGTGTGGAAACTTGATTGGATATTCTTGGTCGTCGTATTTTCCATTTTTTAAAAATAATTATAAATTAGTAAAAGAATAAAATAATGGATAGTTCACCAGATTTGAGTGTTAAGTTACGACGCGGGTCAAATGATTCACGAGATTCTTTCTATATGGGATTTGCTCAAGGAATCGACTCAGACATTGAAGAAGTGACTACTGTTCAGAATGTTCCCCCTCCACCAGTTTTTTCTACTTCTGAGGAACAACCTCAACTGCAGTCTGCTGAAATTCCTCCCGAAGAAACTATACAAGCACCCGAAGAAATAGTTCTTGTGTTTGAAGAGCAACGGTTAGAAACTGAAGTGCCGGAAGAAAAAGAAGTTGAGGAAGTTGCTGTTGAAGAAGAAACTGCTCTTGCATGTGAACCACCTGAGTTTTCGATTGAACAAATTCCACCTCCCCCACCTCTACCCGAAGAAGATGAAGAAGAAACAAATACATCAGTTACAGTCATTCAATCGAAAAATAAAACTCCATCTTCGTCATCTTCGTCTATATCCTCAGCTTTAAATGAATTAGTCGTTGATGATATGGGCAAAAACCCCCCAAAGGAATCAATAGACTCCCCTATACCTCAGTTGCCAAATATTGAGTCTGAAATTGCTGTCGCTTCTTCTCCATATCACAGGTCTCCACCATCACAAAAGTCACAAATTTCACAAAAGTCGCAACTTTCGCAAAAATCTCAACATTCACAAAAGTCACAAATATCCCATAAATCACAGTTGTCACAGAAATCACAAACTTCGCAAAAGTCCCCACCAAAAAAATTAAGCATTAAAAAGGAATCACGTCAGAAGGCTTTTGATAGTGATTCAATTGACAGTATTAATGCAGTTGATTGTAAAATCGACGATGATAATCGTGACGATTCATCTCCAACTGATTCAATGCCACCAGCACCAACTCCCCCGCCTTTAGGATTTCCTTTGTCATTAGAAAAAAGGTGAGTTTAATTTTTTATATTTGAAAAATTGACATAAATATTGAATTAAATTTATTTAAGTGAAATTTACTCTCAATAGACCAATTCCGTGGCAAATAATTTGAGTTCATGAAGCATGAAATTTTTTATAATTGATACTTGAATTAATGAATCTGCTGATATATTTATGTACGGTGCATGATACGTTACCTACAGAGCAAATTGATTTTCAGTTTTTTGTTCTGAATTACATTTGCTCGATTCAAGTGTTTGTGGTATTAAACCAATGGGGAATTGTGAATATGAATTACTCAATGCTTTATTCATTTTTTCCATGCTTTTCATTTTTCATCCTTCCTATCTAAAAATATTTTTTTTCATTCCAACTTTCTGTTATTACTGTTAGTCAGATAAAAATTCAGTTTAACTACTCCTGTTGTTGAGGGATGAAACTTTCTAAACTTTACATATTTCTGCATGTGAACAATTGATGTAGTCAGATTGTAGCTTACGTGTTGTCTCGATTAGATTTAATTGGCAATTGAACATGGAAAAGTTATTCAAATGCAAAAGTAAAAATAGAAGTTTGTAGTAGCGAAAGAAGGAAGATTTTTGTTCTCAGAAAATGAAAAGTAAAAGATTGTAGTGTTATGCCCAAGAGTGAACATGTATGTGATAATATCTTCTCTTTTTCCCTTTTTCTTAGTATCTAAATGAGAAAACAGTGAAAAGATAATTATTGCAAATTTCAAAAGATATTTGAATATTTCGGAAGGGAACTTCACAAAGCAAATGGCAAAAAGAAAATCTTTTATTGAAAGCAAACAAGTATTGAGAATTGCTTAAAACTGAAGGGGTGAATGCTTTTGAATATTCTCTTTGATTTCATGCACATGATTTTATTGATGTTATATAGTAAAACAAATTATCAAATTTATATTATCATGTTCAATATGATGCAAAAAATATTAAACTATGGTAACTCAGGCTAAACAATCATGAGCTCGTTCCAAATCTTCTGCTGCTTGAGTCTGGAAATCTTCAACCAATTCACGATCACATTGTGTCAAACGTTCGAAAGCAGCTTCACTTCCTTCATCAACTACACGAAGAAATTCTGTATAAAAGTCCATATAGGGTCGAGTTGCACTCAAAACTTGACGGAAGCGACGATTGATCATTCTTGGAACCTCCCAAGGCCCGCTGAAATTGTTGACTTCAGACAAAACAGCAATTCCTTGATTTGGAACTTGGTTAGACGTCAAATGGCCAATTGAATGAATAGTGTTTAAATGTGCATCCAGTACAAAAAACCCTTGAAATTTTAAATGAATAAGAATTATTTTGTTTCCATTATCATTTTTTAAAGTGATTAAATTTTACTTCTATTAACGGCTGCCAGACATCTACTAAGCCCACTTCCAAATCGCGTTATCTGTAATCGCCATCTATCTTTTACTTGATCTAAACATCGTTCGCTCTCAGATGATGTAGGTAAAAGTTCATTTAATGCTTCAGTGGTTTCTAAAGAAATTGATTTCATAGAACCAAAAGCTTCCAAGTGAACGTTTAAAAATAGACCAGAATCGCGGTATATAAAGCCTGATAAATCTTCTCTTGAATTTACAACATTCATCTCAAAGAATTCATGGCCGATGGTCAATTCTTCTTGTGATCTTAAAAGATCATTAGTTGTTGTTCCCAAAGCTTGGGTCAAGGTTGCCAGAAAGGTAAAATAAACAAATAGACGAGCCATCGATGTATTTAAGCTAAAGTTTCTATCGCAACTAACTTATCGTCAAAGGAAAAGAATTTACTGTGAAATTGATAAGATTATTCGCATCTTAAATAAGATAAGATATAAATTTCTAAAAAAGAATAATTGATAAAAAATCTTTAGTGGTCGGAATAAAGTCAATTGGAAAATTCTTTATCTTAGTATTTTAAAGTCATATACAAACATCTTGAAGGTATACATATAATTAATGGAAACAAGCTCATCAAGCTCTGCGAAAATAACTGCTGATGAATAATTAATGATTTGTTGTACTTTGCACGAACAAGCGTGCCACTAATGCGCGACTTATATCACGAAGAACACTTTCGAGTTGTTCACACCCAGAATATCATGTCTAGCAATCAATTATCTAAAGTTGAATGTAATGTGATGAAGCTTGCTGGACAAAAAAATCCATAATTTTGTAATAAAGAAAAATACCTACAAGAAATAAATAGACATAAATCCTACCGACATTTTATTACGAATTAATTTTCTGCTGAATTAATTTATGTAGGTATATAAAAATCTAAATGTTTGAAACAAAATTCTAATTTCAATGAAACGAAGAAAAATCTAAATTCAAATTAACGAAAGTCAGAAATTAACATTGACATTCATACCTAAAAATTTCAATAATTTTGGTACATTCGAGTCAAGGTCTTTGAAATTGTTCTCTCAAAATTTATAAATTGCATCCGTCTAACTAAAACTATCTACTCAATTTGTCTTGTTTGTTTATAAACTTCAGTAAATTAGAGTTTAAAAATCATGTTCAGTTTCTATCGGGGGGTTTTGTTGTCAGAATTAAGTAATCATTCGTGCATTTCCAATTGGATCAAAATCGAATTCTTTACCTATGTTTAGAATATTTGAGATTCTGCTTGGTGTATAATTTAAATGATGTTTAGAACATCGATTCGATGCATCCATATTTGAATTGATTAAAAGTGTTACTAGATTATCCCTAAGCGAACAGCTGATTTTTGAATGATGTGGTGAAACTGTCTGAACATGATTGTTGAGAATTAAGTGAGTTTAAAAACGATTTAGATAGTCTCGAGTTGTTTTATATTTAGAACAATATTTGACTCACTGCAGGCAACGGAATTTCACTGTGTCTTCTTTTTCATTTATTTTTCTCTTCTTTGTGGTTGCGAATGACAACTTTTAATGAAATAATTTTAATAAATTTTAGTGGCATAATGGAAGCATCATCTCAAGCGTTGGTGCCATCACCATCATCACCTGACAACACAGTTGTTTCACTGGATGCACTCAGTCATCACTCGTCTCCAGCGAAATCATCTCGAGTTCTTCATTATGGTCAACACGTAACTATTGATGAGACGCGTTTGCCACCATCACTCAGATCATCACATCATCAGCTCTTACAACAAAGTCGAAGATCAACTCCTTCGTCACCTCCACCACCCTTTCAGTCAGGACCGTTGACACCGGCAATGAGTGTCATGAGTAATCAATCTCTTAGTCATATTGATTCTTCGCAAGCAGTTGTGCCTCATCACTCAACATCTTATCAGGTTGATTCACAAACATCCAAAGCGCCAACAAGCGGTGCGTCAACTACGACACAACATTTGTCTGTTCTTTATCAGACTCATCATCATTTACATCCAATACTCACATCACCAGCACGACGACCATCAAGGTTGCCTGACACTAGTCGATTTTTGCATCAGCAATCACTTGGGTTCGGTTCAGAACAAAGGGAAATAAAAGCGTAAGTTTTAAAATCTCTTTCAGACTACTTTATTGGCTGAAAGAATGATCACTTCCATCTGATTTCACTATAAACACAATTTTAAGCACTCAAAGCACGTTCCTTCTTATTAATAGTATTTTTACGACATTTTACTTTACTTTCTTTGATTATCTCTTTTTAGATCGGAGGCATTTTGCAGCACTCTTTCTGCTCTTTATGGAAAAATATTAGTTGTAATGGGGTGAGAAACAAAGAACTTTTATGTCTTTCGTCACTTCGATTGTAATGACGATTTCCATTTCACCCTTTTCCATAGTATTGCATTTCCAATGGCTGAAGTGATATCCTCTTATATTCCACCTTCATTTTACGAGGTGAGTATTACAATTTATATTTTTTCTATTCCCCTTTTGGCATCCATCAAGCTTCATTTATTTAAGAAGAAGCGAATTCAATGAAAAATCGTTTTTGTGACTTGATCTATATATTTATTCTCTAACACGTTTAGTGTTTAACAATCTCTAACAAAGAAAACCATGCCATTGTCAATATAATGTTCATTCATGAGATGTTATACTTGAAAATGAAATAAAACTGATTTTAAGAAATCTCATAAAGATTTTTTAATTTCATTTTAAGTCTAAAAAATTGTCCACATGAACATTTTACATTTTCAAAAGAAGAGTTATTATGAGATGTTTTATTTGATTGCGTTGACATAATGACGTTTCATTTAAACTCAAATTAAATTTCAAGTTTATTCTGAAAGATTACGTAAAGACAACTTAGCTTTCAGATGCTAAATTGTCACCCATTAAAATTGAGTGAATGCCATACAAAATAAGGACTAGGTATTCACATTTATGAATTTTTAATGAGATCTCTGTTGTTTAACATTAAATATTTACAATGAAATTTTTTTACAAGAAAGCAGTAATGAAACATACATTTAATAAAGTATTTTATGCCTTTATCTTTACAGGGATTTTACTTGTATTTATATATCGGAAGTATGATATTCTTGTTATTTATGTATGCTACAATGTTCTGTGGATCAAAATCATCTGTCGCAAGTGAGTTTAATTTTTCGTATCAGATTCGATTTCTTGATTTTTGTTTTTTTTAAATATAATTTTGAAAATTCTGAGAATTGTTTATTTTAATTCTTAGTAGCAATTTAAAAGAATCAGTTTTATGCTTTTGAATACTCTCATAGCCATTTCAATTTAAGATTTTATTTTGTCTACCATTAACCATTTAATTTATGAAAAGGAAACAAAAAGGAGATAAATTAAAGTCATGAAGCAAATCGTTCTACACTAGAATATCATTAAAATTCAATTTAAACTTCAAAAACTTAAAAGCTTAAAACATGCAATGGACATAAAAGCTTAAGGTTTTTTTTTTGAATTGGAAGATTTTTTATGAAGAGACAGATGTTTGTTCATCCATTCAGGAAACAGAAAAAGTCAATTTATGTTGGGAATTATGGATGGTTTGATAAAAAAATGTTAATGAAACTTTTAAATGACTGCTTCAAGGAATAAGCTTTAATAAAATGAAACAAGTGAATATTTTTGATTCAGAAACAAGCTTAAAACTAATTTTATAGAGTTCCATTTTCTTCAGTCACTTTTGCACATATGAGGCACTAAAACTTCTCTTTATTATTCCTTTCACTGTTCTGTTACGTTATTGCTAAAACGCATTCGTCATGAATTCAATTTATGTTATCAAATATTAAACATTATTGCTTGTTTCCATGAGGAAAATTGTTTACGCTTAAAGCATATACATAGATTGTTTTGCGTATTTCAGAAAATTTATGTAGGCGTCTTTAAAATGCCATAAAATTGTGCCGCAAGGAAGTCAAACACTGACGAAATCTCTCTAGGGAATTTGTTTTTGAAAAATTGGATTAAATAAATTTCCCGGAAATAAATTGGATTGTTTTACTTTCTATTAGTGGAATTGTTTGTGATTTCTTACATGAACGTAGAAACAAGATTCTGTTTAAACAGAGTAATTTGTTTATAAATTAGGTTTATTTACGTGTGACTGAAACAAATGTAACTTCTACTTTCTTTTTCAATATAATTTTATTTTCGAAATAAACTATCGTTTTGTAATATAAAAAATCAGTTCAGTTTGGCATGATAATGGTTAATAATGTTTATTAATAATTTTCATATATTAATTTTATAGCATCTGTTACACAAAAATCGACAAGTCCTGTTAAAGCTCAAAAATCTTCAGAGAGAACTTCATCAGATAGTGGTGACCAATCTGATCACGAAAGTGACAGCAGCAATCAAGGCCCTAGAAAATCTTCAAGAACAATTGTTGCTATGCGACGACCATCGATAATGGCAGCGACTGCTATGAAAACACAACATTATGGAAGTTTCTATCTTCGGATGGGCGCTGTTGGTAAATAAATGTTTAATACATTTTCTGATATTCATAAGCATGAAATTTACTAATTTTTACATAATTTAATTTATTCATGTTTCCGATAAATAATTCAATTCTATTTCTTTTCTTTTCAGCATTTGGAATCGGAAGCATGATCTATTCTGGTTTAGAAATTGGTCAATACTTTGAACTTGAAAGGGATACGAAATGCCATAATGTTCTTTTAGCACTAACGCCAGCTACAAGAATGGCATTTATATTCATCCAAATGTATTTTATATTTCTTAACAATGAGGTAAGCAACTTTTGATGAAGCAGAGAATAAGAATTTATGATTTTGCACTCATTTTTCTCATCAAATAAATGTCTTCATTTTTTTGCTTTCAAAGAAAAAATTTAATTATTTCACATTTGTTTTTGTTATTTCACATTATAGCAAATAAAAGTTTATCGACACAAGATTCTTGCAAAGTTTGGACTCATGCACATGATTGGCACAAACTTGTCAGTCTGGTTTAGTGTTTTGATTCAAGAGACAAAGCACGAAATTTTGACATTTTATGACCCAGAAAATAGAACCTTGAAGATTTCTCATCGATTAGGTAAACATTTTTAGAATAAGCAATAAAGAAAAAATAAAAAGATTGAAAGAGTCGTCACTTCAATGAATGTTTTATTTCGTTTCTACAGGGAACAAAGTTGTTGTGACTGCTTTGGAACAAGCGCATACACGGATCGCTCGAGGTTTAAAAGGGCCTCATAATATTTTTGAATGTAGAAGATCAAACATTTTAGGAACTTTGGTGCAAGATGCTTCACCATTTCTGTTTCCCTGCACAATAGAATATTCTTTAATTTGTGCAGCAATACTGTATGTAATGTGGCGTAACATAAGTCGTCCCGATCCTGAACCTAATGAAGTTGTTAGATCGGAATTACATCCTTTCAAAAGATCTCCACATCATTACTCTGTTGATTGCGCTGGTGCACATAAAGGCTTATTCATCGGAATTCTTATGCTGGTTCTGTCAATCATTTCCTTGATTCTCTTTTTTGTTTTGATATCAAAACCAGAATTTACGAATTTCGCTGTTACTGAAGTTAATATATGTGAATTGACATTGTACGGTGCAACAACTTTAGCGACTCTGGTGGGAATGATACAAGTTCGTGCTTTACATTATGACTCTACAAGAAGCTTTAGTTTGGATGATATTCTACTTGTTGGTGCACAAACTGGATCGTTTCTTTACAGCACATTCACGATCATTGGCGCTCATTTAACACTTGAGAAAAATACGATGCTAATATTTATTACTGCAATGGCATCATTAGTAGAAACCGCATTTCAAACCATGTTTATACTTGACGCTAGTCGAAGGTCTGCTGCAACGCCGGATCATATTCGTAAGAAGCCTGGTCGCGAGATTGTGACATTTCTTCTCGTCTCAAATTTAGCGATGTGGGCGATTAACACACTAGAAAAGTCACGAGCTGAAAGTCATCCGCTACAGTTGCATTTTTATGGCCTTTGGGCTTGGACGATTATCACCCACGTGTCAATGCCTTTAGGTAAGCTTTTTAATGCTTTTTATAGCTTTTCAACTCATCTTTTTTTATTTGTTTAGCGATATTTTATCGCTTTCACAGTACTGTGTGTTTATGTGATATTTGGAAACGAGCATGGAAGATGAAACCGGCATACATGTAAACATAAAAATGTGAATTTTATTCCTGAATCAACATCAATCAAGTCTCAACACTTTATCCAAAATTTCATCGACGTTGACAGCGACAAACTTTCTTCTGTTACAGACAAAATGTGAAGACATCTTTACAAAATAAAATCGAATTGTCTCTTTTTATAAATATTTTGTTCGAGAAGTGACGCTGAGTTAAAACATGCCCGTAAATATTGACAGTTTCTTCTTCAAATTTATTAGTGAGTTAATAAGAATAAATAGAATTTATCATACAGGAAAGATAATTCCCCGATGTAGTCTTTTGATGAACTTAAAAACTTAAAAATTTCAATTAAGATAAATTCTGAGAAATTGTACCCACCTAACAATCTACTCGTACTCCTTGAAAGGGAACAACTTTACTAATAAACATTAATTCCTTCTCGCACTCACAAGGATTAAAGTATATCAAATATCAGACTTTAATAACAAAAAATAAAAGACAATTTTACAATCTTTGCAAATTTACACAAGTTTAACATAAACATGTAATCGATCAATTTTTTTCTACAATTTTTTAGATAAAAGTTTATATTGAAAAGCATTTAAAGTTCAATACTCTTTCTTACTTCGTTTAACAAATGAATACGCTTTGAAAATTTACATACAAATGTTTACATATAAAGAAATTTTACAAACAATATTTAATTATTTAATCGGGGAATTTCTTTGTATTCAATCATATTCTTCTTCAGCATTCTACAAAAGTTTCCATGATTAGCACTGAATATTTAAGAAAGATCTTAGCCACTACTAGATGGTGTGAAAAAATAATTATTGGATCTGTAAAACAATTCTTGATCTTTCGAAATTCACAATATTTATTAATTCTGTTTATCGATTAAAATGTTTTCTAACAAAAATAATCAAAATATCTAATCATAAAATCAGCAGTAGATTTTTGAAGGTGAATCAATTGTTTCTAAAGAAATTCATCTAAAAGGATGTGAAAGAAATTTTAAGTAGAAATAATAAAGACTGAATTAAGTTTTCAAATCAGACATAAATGCAGTTTACCAGTTAAATTTGTAGTTTTGCAATTAAAGAGAAACTGCCAAATTAAATCATAAAATTGAAAATTGCTAGATATACCTAACTTTTGAAATTTGTATAATATTCAGACATAAAAGTTCGCCTAAGATTGCGTTAATTTACTTATACAGATATTTTCTACAATTAGATTCACGAACCATAGAAATCAGATGTTTTTTCAAACTTTTAAACATTAATGAGGCTCGTATTTCAAAAATAAATAAATTCTATGTAGATAAGATGTATTTATGTATTCATGTAAGGTTTTCGGAATTTAAAACAGGAGTTTTCTTCCTGCTCAAGGCTTATAAAAAATTTGTAATCGGTTAATGACGTTCCAGTGATTTATAATTTCTAAAGTCTCGTATTTGATTATTTGCTTCTTAAAGTTGAAATATCTGATTGGAGAATGATTATTTAAACTTCATTCAAAATGTAAATGAAACATGTTTAAAACAATCTGAATAATTCTTCAAATGCATGAATCTTGGTATGATTGTATGTATGCACTTCTGTTGGAATTAATTATTTATTTCACATGTTATTTGATTTGATTAATATGTTAATAATGTAAACAAATAAGACCAAAGAGAAAAAGAAGTCATTAAAAAATTATAACCATTGGCTTTGAAAATTGAAATTTTAATTTCAGAACATCGAACACAAATATTTATCAACGTTTCTTTCATTACAGTGAATTGAGAAATGTGGTAACTCATACTAGATATCAATCAAGAACAATATCTTAGATATCTATTGCAACTGAAGGTTATTTAAATTTAATTTAATAAGTAGCTAAAAGAAAAACCGGATTTCAAAACATTTGAAATGACTCTTGCAATTCGAAAAAGTATAAAACAACATTTAAATTTGTTATTTTAGATTTTAATTCATAAAAGATATCAAATGCTACTTATGTTATTCTTATTCAAGATGATTTTTTATGAATTATTTTGAATATTTTAAGAAAAATGTTATTTCCTTTGATATCACGCTACATACAGTTCAGTAGAATTCTAAATGTTGTATGAATGAAAATCGTAATTTATTACTGTTGCCTTGTGAAGTATACATAATGAAATATCAATGTGTTGATGCATTTCAACGGAGGAAATGCTTATTAAATTAATATGTGCTGGCGACTTGAACTCTCTGACTGACATAATAACAACTGTGAAAGTGAAACGACGCATAGAAATTTATATTTAAAAAGATCTTTTCGTTCTTAAGCTTCTGCTTTTTATATATCTAAAGGAATGAAATTAAATTCAAATGAATTTCATAGATCCACATTTCTTTAATCATCAGATAAAAATATCACAACTTAAGACATTTGGCCTTCTGTATAAGGTTAAGTGTATCATCTGATAAGATAAATAGAATCCGGAAATCTGAGCAATAAATAACTTTTTAAATATTTAATAATGATTCAAAAAATGAATATTATTCTTGCCCTAAATATTTTTTCATCAATTTTAGATCTGTGAAAACAATAGAGAACAGCTACTTTAAATGCGCCCTTCCTTGTTATGCTTACTTTGTGTGTTCTAACAAAAGTATCGCTTTACACAAGGAATGTTAATCTTACACCAATAATGTTTCTCTTTAGTTTTTTCTCCGACTGACTGTTTGAAAAACAATCGTAATTAAATTCAATAAATAACTTCAGAAAAGCCCATAAAATTGAATTGAATCCATATGGTGGTCGCAATGCATTTAAACTGAATTGTTTAACATTTGATCTGATGTATTGAAAGAAAATTATCTAGAAATTCAAAATTCGTTTTAAAAGGAAAAAAATATTTTTGATATTCTTTTAATAACTTAAAAAAATGTATTAAGGTAAGTGAAAGAAAACCTAGAAATAATTCTGCCGCTTTTGGGATGAAAATTGAGTTTTCCTTTTAGGAGTTTTAGATGTTTGCTTAAGAGCGTAAGGAGAGTGATTTTCAGGAATGCTCATGAATTTTGTCCTTTTCTAAAGACCGAAAATTTGGAAAATATTTCGTTGCAATGTAGGGAATTTATTGATCAGAAATTTTTGTGGTGTTAGTAGCATTTCCGACGTGCTCCATTTTAATACAATAGAGGTTGATGCTGCGAAATATATGCTCGTTTTAGCCACCCTCGCATCAGATGTAAAAATTTACTAACACTTTTAAAAACTTTATAGCAGCAGGAGTTTTTTGCAGGAACCAGTTTCATTTAATGCAATTTTAAGGGATGCGTGTGCGTTTTTTTATTGATAAATTTTTCATGAGTTCCCAATATAAAAACTTATCTTTTCATTATTGTTTCTTTGTAATTTTATATAAATTATTCTTTGATGACTCTACGTTTTGTAGATTTGGTAGTAGATAATATTTTGTTGTTAACTTCAATAAAATGCTTCTAAAGTTTATTTGATACATTATAATAAATTCAAGAAGAGTCAATTCGCATTCTTTAAAATTATTGATTTTAATTTTTCCTTTGACAGGGAAAATGAAAAGTTTTTAAGAATTTACGCGCCAAAAGCAGAGTTTGATGACTTCACATCACTTTTTAGTTATTGTTTATATTCTTCTTTGTCCATCTTGTACACGCAATTCTATTCCTGCCATTGCGCAGTGAGGCATTAGAATATTTTTTAAAGCGTAAAATCACGCAACGTTGCCATGTTTAGTTGTTCAACGCGTTGAATGAAAACATCGCAATGTTGAATGTTTTATTATTGTTTAGATCAACAGTTCTCAGCAAACTGTAATGTTTGTATTGTTTAGTCGTTCAAAAACTGTCGCTGGAAGTGCGCGCATCTGTTGAAGCTGCGTTGGATATTTTTTTTGTGTATGGGAAGGAAAAGTAATTGAGTGCTACAAACGTTTGTTTTGTTCGATTGGATTTTTTTAATTTTCATTCATTCTTCTAGTCGATCTGTGAAAAGGAAGTTTGAGAGAAGTGATTATAATGAGTTTTAATTGATTTAAATCTTTTAGTTTTGTTTTTTCTGAAACAAACAGATGCAATATAAACTTGAAGGTAACTTCAAAGTGAAAAAAGAAAAATATTATTTAGGCGCATTAAGACGCAATAATCTCATTCTTCACATTAGATTTCTAAACATAAATAAGTGTTTTGACTCTGATTTAAGTAAAATCGTGATAATTCATTGATTGCTAAGTAACATGAATCTCAAAAAATTATGCTAATGTGTTCTTGCCTGATAAAATTATATTTAAAGAAAAGCAATGCAATCAATTGAATAGAAAACTAAATCTGATCATCATCGCTCACATTAATTCATGAAATCTGAATACCGAATTTGATTTTCTAGAGTGCTGACACATCTCTTAGATCTGCTTATTTAAATCGTCTGATTCAAGCAACATTTCTTTAAATTAAATGTGTTTTGATGCATACAAATGCATACATGAAATTCTAATTTAGTCATATCTAAGCAGATTTTTTCTCTTTTTCTGAATATTTTTTGCAGAATAAAATTAACAGTGAATTAAATGGATTGAAATTGAGCTATTTATAGTGCCATAGCAGCAAGTGAAACATTTTCACGTTGTAATATTATCATCAACTCATCATATTCATTATATTTCTTAATATAAAAAAGGGACCACAACATATATTTTTACAAAACAAAATTATCCCTAAAACCTTTACCTGATATTTACACAAGAAGTTGATTGTGAAGCGAGTTAGAAATAAAACGTATAGCAATATCGTTGAGAGCTCTTGATGTTCCACTGAATCAGAGGATAAAGGTGAGTGTCAACATTGGAAGAGGGAAGTTAAGATGACAAAAATAAATTTTCCGGTTTAAAGGAAATTCTATAGAATGGAAAATCTGGAGCGTTTCCATATGTTTCCAGTAAACACGCATAAAATTCAACTTTATCAGTTCTTGTTTTTGTGCCTTTATTAACGAATAAATGACGGTCGACATCTAATTTTAATCTCGATTAAATAAATTTGGTGTCTTATAATGTCATTATTATTTTTCTAACAATTTCACAATTGAAAGAAAATTTGTTTCCTCAATTTCCAATTTTTTTTTGGGAAAATTCACAAACGTATTTACTTGCTCTAATTTTAGTCACGCAGTTCTAATGTTGTTCCTTACTTAAGTATTTTATTTACAATACTTATTAAATATTTAACAATGTCTACAACTTAGAATTAAAATTATCTAATATAATTCACGACTTTTCATCATGTTAGAAGTATATAAAAGAGCATAAAAAAGTAGACGTAAACACGAAAATATGTGAAAGTTTAAGCACAAAACATTATGAAGCCATGCGAAGCCATAAAAAATGTTTAAAAAGAGCGTGTCGACTAGTTTTCATTAGATTGCCTTTTGTGATCTGATCGACAACATGACCGAACTGGAATATTTTACTTTGCTTGTATAATTAGCTTGAAAATCTAATTCAGGCAGCGAATGATCATAAAAGGTTTAAAATTATAGCATTTTGTTTTTCATCGCATTATATTCGATTGAAAAAAAAGCTTAGAAGTGTAAATTTCTTTAAATGTTGCAGCCAAGTGTGAGAAGAACTTGACATGATTTGAGATTAATCATTGCTTAGTTGAGATAGAAAATATGTTATTGGTAGAAACTTGTTGGAAACATCTTTGCAATTAACATATCGCTTATTCATTGTTTCAAACTTACAGCAAGACTCACAAGTAAATATCTAACCTGTTTCAAACAATCAACTCTATATTTAAAAGAAATCGATAAATACGGCTACCAAATGGGGTCGCCTAGTAAAATATTAATTGCCTTAACTTCATTGTTACTCCAGGAAAAGTACTTAAAAATTCAAATTCTATTCGGAAAAAAGGGAAAATATTATTGGGGTGCGTGCGGCTCATGTTAAAGGTTTTTTTACTCATTTCTTTCCGTAAAAGTGTCTGTTTCGAATCACCCTTAGCTTTGATCAAAATGTGATAAGAAGTAGAAGCAACAAATTAAATGTTAAATCAAATTACATGTGTCTAAGATTTTAGAGTTCATTTAAATTTCAGGTAACTTTTTTACAAATGCAAATTTATGTTGGCGTCATTAAAATTGATGCTTGAGAAAAAAGAAACGTACAAATGAATTATTTATGTCACACAAATCGTGTTATTAATTTCTTTATTGACGAAAGATTTTAATATTTAATCACGAGACGCAAATATTTTACAAAGTTCCTTGCTAAAAGTGGCGTCATTTTATTTCCACATTTCTCTTAAAACGGAAGGTTTTTGTTTTTGTATGTTGAGAGAAGCCAATTTAGAAAGGTCATTAAACTTTGAGATAGTCGTGTATGAATGTAGCAAATTTTCCATTTGTAACATCCCTTGGAGCTTTTTGAAGCTTCAAAAATACGGGTGAGCCTTAAGATTTCTATCACACAGGGCTGAGAGATTTGAATTTTATGTTAACAGTAGCATGAATTGTTTATACAGGTGGTGGTTGCCATGGTAACAGTTGAAAAAAAATGTTAAAAAAATCTAATTCAGAGATTTTTCACAAGTAAAAAATGTTGTTTTCAAATGTTTATATCAATCAATCTACTTTAGTTAATTTAATTCAATTTAAAATCTTCATTTGGCCAAAACCAAATTTACATTCGTAAGCTATTCAAGGTTTATTTGCATCAAGATGTTTTGCCTCTACTTGTTTTCTTTCATATATTTCGCTGATTATCAATGAACTCTTTGTGTGAAACTAGAATTTTTGTTTCATGAGAATAATTCTTTTTATTATGCTAATTAAAACAATATTGTAACATTTTATTATTCTCAAAGTTACGCATCAAGAATGCTGCAATTTGCATGTTCAAGTCATTTTTCTACAAACCCCAAACAAGGTTCTCCTGAATCAGTGCTCTCAACCAATTATTTCAGCGAATCATCGAGTTTATCGAAATTCAACCATCTAGAGTGATGGAAATTACGCGATGCATAAAATTTCTATTTGTTTCTTTTTTAATTTGTAATTGCTTTCAACATTATTACGTAAATTCATTAATAAAATTTTGACTGTGCCGGACGTCTTTGTTGCTTTAGGTTTTATTTTTAATTTAAAACGGTAAAATACGATTCATTTCATTGGCATTGAAGGCATTTTCTGCAGTGTAGTTACAGTAAATTCTCAATGAAAGAAGCATGATCATCACTTTCATCAAATAAAATTCACTTTCACTGAAGAAAATTTGAAGAAATTTGTTAAAGCTCTCGCTTTTTATGTTAATTAAGAGAGTCCACTGTAATATTAAAAAAACATTAAAGAGTTTGAAGAATGAGTTTCGCTGTAAATTATTTTGAGTTTCCGCTTTTATTTATTTTCCGGGCTTAATTTCACTTTTTTCCTATAATGTCTTTTATGGAAGATAATTTTGTTCCATTTGCGAAAATCATACTTTGTAGTAATGCAATTAAAAGTGTCTAAAAATAATTCATAATATTTCGATATAATGAAAACATTCAGCGTTAAAAGAATGTACCTAGTAACAAGTCATAAAAGAACAAAAAAAATATTCCCTATAAATCGTTGTTAAACAAGGGTGCGGGTGCTATTCCTCGGATATTTTGGGTGTATATATTTAATGTTTTATTGATTTGAATATTCATTAATCGGGAGGGACTTAAAGTTTTTCCAGAACACCCATTCGTATAGTAAATTTCATTGTATGAGTGCCACAAATTACGCGCATAACTCCAACAAATTTCTTTTATACATTGCATTAGTTCACTCTGAATGTGTTCAACTTGAAGCTATTTTGGACAGCTTATAAAAAGGATGTTGAAGTATATATTTAACATGATTAGAAATAGTTTGAGAAAAAGATCAAGAGAGAAGGATTAGATTTTTTCATTAAATCATAAATGTTTGTTGTTGAACGATTCGTAATCATAACCTTCATTCTTTGCAATCAATCCATGGTGTTTGTGGGTGAGGAAAACTACCCTTAGTATGTTTATCAGTAATTATAATAATTATAGGCGAGGAACACTCAGAGCATGAATTTACACTTGAGGCAAATATCCAGAAGCGAAACTTTTTATGTTTCTAAAATTTATGCTTACCTGTCATAGAACGACATAATAACCAAAATTAGGAAATAACAATTTAAGAAAGAGTGTGAAATATTCTTAGAAATGAACAGGAAAGAAGTGACTGAGTAGTTATCCACATGAGTAGTTTAAACTATTATGAGAGCCCCTTCAAAATCAGAAGAAAGCTTGGCAGCGAAACTTGTCTGGCTTTCATAGAAGAAACAACTGCAAAAAAATTACATGCCTACAGGTTATCGAACTGTCTGGAAATTGGCTTTGTATTTTAGCGCAACACCTAACATGTTTCATACATGTAAAAATAAACATTTTAAAAAAATGTCTATTAGATATTTGATTTCACGATTTATCGTTCACAATATTCAAGTTCAATGCCATTTTTTCTAAATGGAACGTGATTTCAAATTCTAAAAACCATGATTGTTTGTATTTGAGCAGCTAAATTTGAATCTAACTTATTGTCTATTCATTGATATCACCCAAACCTATCTACATATCTATCCAAATAAATAAATCAAGAATCAATGACAATAAGCATCAGTTTGAACAACAGCCGGTAGTATTAAAATGAAACAGGAAAAATCTACAACAATCTCATGAATTTTTAGTGAAAACAGAAACTTCAGAATTTTAAATGTTCGAGAAATATCTATTTTTACCAGATCGTGTTTCTTTCTTATTTTTAATTTCACACAAACACTTTTTTTTAAATTTATTACACAAAATCATTTTTTAGTTAGTTATGAAAGTAGAGCTACTTTGCAATTTTTTCTTTAACAATTCAACACCTCAAAATTATCCTTTTGAATAATAAACATTGAACGGAAGCGGCTGGCAGAGCTAAAACTTTTATGTAGTTATTGGAACCAGGCTCGGAGTATTTTTTGACGTATTTTCATACGAGTAAAGCTCGTATTATTACATTTCGGAACTGACAACATAGCATTTACTTCAGTGTTTGCTCTATTTTCATCGCGAATGGAATAGAGTTTTTGAGGTGCACCAAAAATTCAGATTAAATGTAAATTTTTTTAACTAATTCACTAGTTCAGTTGGTACCTGCAGTTTGTAACAACATTTTTGTGAGTTTGAAGTTTATTAAGCAGATTCTCTCAATCATTTTTGAAAATAATATAGAAAACCTGCAGAGTCATTTTTCATGTTCTTTTTATATATTTTTCTGCGAAAATTTGCTCTACATAAATTTACTTGGAAGAAAAATAGACGAGGATAAAGTACACGTGATAATGCATATATGACAAAAATGCATCAATCAAATAGTGAGCTGATGCTGTTAACACAGTAATAAAAATATCCATGAATAAAATAAATATCTAAAACAAATAATAAACTTTCCAGATATCTAATTTCAAATTTTTGAAATTGAACCGATAAAATATTTATTGTCATTGAGAATTTATTTCTATTTCCCCTTTGATATTTTTGATAAAGTTTATCGAGTGGTTACTTATAGTTTAGATATGATTTCTTTTGTAAAGCTAAACTGCAATTCAATGAAGATAATTGCATTACACATTATTGTTGGCATTAGAAATCTACAGGATAAGAACGCACAATAAGAGGTTTCAATTGATCTTGTAGAAAAAAAATGATTAATGATGTCAACGAGCTTTTGGAAGCGACCAAAATCAAGTTTATTTGTGTTATGTAATAATAATCGAGAAAAAGATTCAATGTAGCCAAACCCAAGGCCGAACCTATTCAGTTCTTCTCTCTGTTTTGGCCAAAATTCTACAAATTCAACAGAATGTAAAATCATTATTTATGTATATATCGGAAAAACTAACTCAAAACAAGCACGTTTATAATCTGTAAAAAATCTTTATTTTCTTATGCGATTACGAGTGTGAAAGGCCACAATTTGTTTACATTTAGAAAAAATAATAAAAATTTTGTCTGTTAAAATTTAAACTATTTACATGGTTTACTTTAAAGTTCAAGCTTCAAATATTTTTCGCACATGTTGTTGAATATATTAGACAATTTAAATAGACAGTTCAAAGCGAATTTGCAAGCTACAAAATTTTAATACTCTCATAAAAAATTATGAAATCAGAAGTCGAATGAAATTATCGCTTAGTTCATCACTATGAGAATAGCGCTTATATATCAAATCCAAATCACAAATTCACAAATAAACGATGACATCAAAGTCGCGAAATAAATGTATACAATTTATTACCAAAGCATGAAGCGTGATTTTGTGTGCGGTATTTTTGAAAAAGAAAGTGATCACTTGCTAAACTTTAACTTAAATCAAAAGATTTTTCTAAAAACTCATCTCGCGATTTCAACTAATTTCAACGAATTGGATTTTCCCCGGAAAATTTTTATTAAAACGAGAAATGTGCTTTCTTAATCTCTTCTTCTTATTTCATTCTACAGGTGGCGCAAAATTTTTATTGTTTGACTAGAACCACATGCAACGTTGCCCTTACATACACGAAATGAAGGAACGTCTTTTAGGATCTCAGCGTGGAGATTCAATGGCAATGGAATCATTTGATCGCGAACGCGATAACTTGCTGGAACATGCCAGCAGGCCCGGAAGTAATCAGGTTGGAACCGTAGCTACTGTGGTTAAGGTAAGGGTGAGCTCGTTCGACACGCCGAAAAAGATTCAAGTAATTTCAAATTTTTTTTAATGATTTCTTTTGATTACTTTCAAGCGCAAATCTTTCTGTTTCATTGTTTCCATGTTGACCTGAACAGAAATCCGCTGTTCATTGTTTCTGTTGCTGAATGTTTTATACTTCATTACAGATTGTTTTCAGATACATACATTTTTAAATTAAACAAATCTGTTTGAGTGAGCAGAGTAAACGAGCTTCATGCCTGAACCTTTTACACCATACACTATTATTTAATAAGTTTATCACTTGTATATAATATAAATTCTAGATCAAAAAAAAAATATAATTCTAGAGAATGAAACTAAATTAGGAAAAATTAATTAATGTTCCTTATACATAGAATAATATTAAGTTTGGCTGCTGAAAATATGACATAAGAAAACGATTTCAGCTGTCATTAATCATCATATCAATCACATAAATATTTATTTCAATACTTAGATGTGCTAACGAAATTATGTTCTTAATAACTTTCATAAGAAAATATTCATAAAATTATTTTAATAATGTCGTAATTTGAATATTTAAACAGCAGACAAACTTAATTCAATTTTTTTATGTAACTAACAATGGTTCTTAAAAAAATCGTTCAAATTGTTGTGCATCTAAAACTTTAAAAACATAAATATTCATGTTCTCTTTTGTCTTTTTTCCTGCTTCTATGCTTGATCTGATTTGTTATTACTTTATAGTTAAGCATATTAATTATCAATTCAACCTTAGTTTTTCCTAATTTGTCTCGTGAAATACAAACGCAAGATATATTAGATATTTAATGAAGTTTAAAGTTTCGAACGTCAAATAACAAGTTTTAAATTTCATAGCTTAATGCTGACGGTTACCACACTAGTCCAACACATCAACGAACACCGCTTGTTCCACGAGATCTTGGTGAAGATTTTAATTTAGACTGCGATGACGAAATTTCAAGACCACTTGATTCACGTAAACCAAAGAATGCAAAGTGAGTATTAAATTCCACTTGTGGCTTTTAGCCGTAATTACAACCTACATCTATAACTGACATTAAAGAAGAAGCTACAAACGTCATTAACTTTAATTCAACTCTTACACTTTATACAGAAGTACCTAACAAAAAAATTCCTTTCATTTAGCCATTCTGTTTTTTGTTTATGTGGAAGTTGGTTCTACGTTTTGTGTCTAACAAATATGAATCTATTTATTTATTCCTATTTCTAGTTAAAAGAAAAATATTTTAAGTGCCAAAGTTAAATTGAATACTTGACAATTTTCAAATATTTTCCGTTCAATCAATGAACTTTCTATCGAATTTATCCGTATTGAAACAAATTTGTTTGAAATATTTTTTCTTTTTTCCAATATCTAAAATTCTATTGACTTTTGCAGAAACATTCGAAGCTCTGGCTACGGATATTATGAGTACTTCGAGTGCAAAAGGAAAAGGTTAGATCATAAACATAAAAGAAAACTTAAAATTGAAATAAAATGTTACCCCTTTTGAATGGGGAAAGTTTGTGAAATAATAAACAATTAGGCTATAATCTAACTGTTTATGACATTAGAAATAATTTAACCACATAAATAGCACGATATTCATTTAGCTAATTTGCTGCACATTCAATGAGTGTACATAAATCTCATTAATTCTATTCTCAAAAACCTGATGTTATCCACTTATGTACTTTCAAAGATTGAAAGTAGTCCAATGTTAAGTCAATAGCTTGCAAACGACTGGTTGTCAAACGAAAGTCAACAAGTGTTTGTTTTGATTGTAAAAATGCTAGATTGACAGAAACTTCAAAGAAATTATTTACACACGAAAATTGTTTTTTCTTCTTATTTACTTTTACTATTTGCAATTTTCCCTTTCTGAACGGTGAATGAATGAAACTTAACAATACTATAAATAATTTAATGGCATCTATGGATTCAAACAATCATTACATGCCTTAAACTACCAGACCATTTAAGTATCTGCTTTAATATCTTTGACACATACATAGATTGTAACCAGATATCCATTTGTTATGTCTACATTTAGCCCCTGAAACAACGAAACATTTAAAGCGAGTGTATTTATCGGGACAAAGTCAAAAAATATGTCTAACTAAGAGAAATATTTTATGGTTTATCGCTATGTTATGAAAATCAATGTCATTTATTTTGTTTCATAGAAATTCTGTGTACATACTGCATTAATAATAGATTTATTTAGCGCCTATCCGTCCCTGTTGTGGACTCCCGTTAAGCACATTTCCCATGGACTTCCATGTCATTATTCTTTACATTCTCACATAGATCAATTTGCGAAAACCGCCCTATTAAATATTTCCAACATTCTTTTGCTTCGGGGTGGATTTTATTTCATTTCTACGACGTAGACCATAAAATTTCTGCTTCATAATTTCTCGCTCTTTATATGAAATTTTGTTTATTTAAAAATTATTTACTGTAAGGGGTTTCGATTTCATTCCAGTCTGAACATTAGATTTTACGTAGTGTAGTTTGAATATCTGTAGAAATTCTTAATACTGATGTCTGTCCACTTACTAAAGTTTGTTTATCGCCATTATTTTCGGTTTTGAAAATAATTTGAAACAAAATTTTATGTCAATGTTTAACTGAGAGGATTTTATTTTCAATAAAATTCTTCTTGAACATAATACCAATTCATTTCAAGAAGTAGATATAGAAATTTCGAAAGGAAATAAAAAAGCGAGGGTGAAAATGCGTTAAAAATGAAAAAAAGATTTCGTTCTACTGTGAAATGAATTTCAAGAATTCAAAAAGGGGTCGTATCAAAAATGAGATGTTTTGGGTTTTAATTCAACAAAAGAGTACTTTACTCGTTTTCTTTGGGATATTTTGAAACTTTCTCGGACGTGCAATGGTTTCCAAATATTTTCTTCTATTAATCTTTGTCTATTCTATTTCCTAATCTATCAAGATAAACACTCCAAATGTCTTAATTAATGTTATCTCAGGTGAATCTCGTCTATTTGTTTTAAGAAAATTTTTTGGTTCTTCCTGTTCCTTTAGCATATATGTAGAATAGTAATTGTAAATAGAAACACGATCAATAAAATCTTTTTCCATTCTATTTGTGTTCGTAAAAGAGGGAATTTTGTGTCTTTTAGTGGCAGGAAATTTTCCCTGTTTTGTATGTTCTCCTACACAACAGAAAGATTTCATCACAGTTCATTCCTGTTTTGTGCACGATTTTCTTATGATTCAAAATACATTCGTTTTGGTCACATACACAGCGTCACATTCGGGTTGCATCGTCATCTTCATTCGGGCGGATGCTGAAACGAAACAACACAATTTCCACCCTTGAGAGAAGAAAAATTTTCCTCTCTCAGTTTTTTGCTTTTACTTGAGAACGGAAAGTTGCCGCTTATCACAGAGTTACCCTCAGTTTGCGAGGCAGCTTCGTTGATTTCTGTTGGCTCATCCGCGGCGGTTGCTTTGATCAATTGTTAAAAAGGAAAAGAAACTCAAAATTTTTAGCAGTCTTTCTAAATACTTCTCAAATGTGTTAAGTGATCCAGAGAATTATTATTTAGTGCAATATATCACCATTCTTGCTCAATAAACCGTCCATAATTTGAGTGAAATTTATTCAGGATAATAAAGTTTGTGAAAATTTTTGTATGCTTCACAGTTATGCATTGACTCCATTTGATGTTTAATTAAATGGAAATATAGGAAGGGAAAATCATAATTGACATTGAAAATACTGAAATTTCATCGACATTTAAGAAGTCTTAAAATATTTTTAGCCTGAGAATTTCGGCTTCTCTTTTATAAAATGGAGTCGGAAAATTTTCATCTTAAATAACCGTCCTTGAACTGGAAATTGTTATGGGGAAGGAGTTTTCTAAACAATGAAATTAAATTGTTCAAAAGTTATGATGTGTGATGATCAAAAATGAACTTTTCCATGACATTTAATTATAACTAAATTAGTAATGACAAAAACTGCGAAACCTCTGTAGATATTTTATGTTTGCGATATAAAAAAATTAATAATTTTTTCACTAAAAACTTTGTCTAGCGCAAATATCAGTGTCGAGGTTGGAAGGTCACCGGGTCAGCGTTCACTTCAAGGTTTTCAATCCACTATTCATTTGGCATCATTACTAATATAAGAAAAGGCTCTTCAGAATTTCTGATTGTGCTTGCCCCACCCCAGGCCATTCCCGTACTCGCATTCTTCGTCCCAATCAACTCGTATACCTACTTGCTGGAAAAATGCTTCACAATACTACTGAAAAATAAAGAATGTTGATGAAATCTCGTTTGCGCAACATCCTCGAATTTTCCATCTTCTTTTTACGCAAACATTTCGCAACAAAAGTTCCACTCTTTATTCAGTGTTGCTTTGATATCTTTCACTGTTAAACTCTGCTCTATTAAGTTCAATATCTGCTTCGGTGTAAATGAAAATTTATTACTAAATATTACAGAAATTGTTTTTCCCAGTCCTCATAACAATCTTCCGGTGTACCCTTTAAATGTTGTTGAGGGAATTTAATAGAACATCAATCGTTCTGACTTCATACCACTTGTTTTTATTTAAATTTTAAATCTCTATTTTTTATAGTAACTGAGAATGTGAGATTTTTTCTAAAGAAAAAACAAAAACGTGATTCGCTTCAAAGATAGAACTCAGAGTGAAACTGAATTGTGTTGTGTTCGGTGTGAAGATATAAATTCGTGAAAATACCCAGAAAAAAATTTGAAAACTTTAGCTGGAACTTTAACGAACCGATGGGTGTCGATAAAGAGGTTAAAGTGGCAACCGTAGACGTTGAAAGCGGTGATAATATGGCCACGTTACCAGCGTCATCACGATCCCATCACAGTTCCGAGCACGCTGAAAAAAACGCAGCAGCCATCAAAGAGATGGAAATTAAAAACGTGATGCCGAAACCACTTGAAAGGTTGTCAAGATTTGCTTGTGACATTCATAATTTTAGGAAAATAAAAACACACGAGATTTGAAACGACTATAAATCAATCAATTGTGAATATAATAAATGAATGAGAGAATCCCCGGATGTGCTTAGCATGTGTTGAATCAATTCTTAACAATCATCATCATAAAAATCTCATCTTTATACATAATTTTACGATCATGTTTGATTTCTTATTTTTAGCTTTTCAACTAACAACATGCTTTATATTTTGCATTCATGCACATTTGAACATATTCACTAACATGTACATAAATCTATGCAATTTGTAAAGACCATAAAAACAAATGCACACTCAATTGAATTGTAAAAGTTTTGAAATCATTTTGTAGTCTTTAATCGTTTCTTTTTTATATCAACTTGACATTTCATAGGACATCACTTTTCATTGTGACGAGTTTAGTGTATGCTTTGCTCCTGATTGTTATCTGTGTATCGTACGTCATCAGTGATGTCACAACTCATCAACTTCCCGTTATGTACTACGAAGGATTCTTTACATATTTGTATGGCGCAAGCATTCTCTTTTTGCTGTATGTTTTCTGCTTTCTTCTGCAAGGTAATTATTTTTTGGAATATTTCTACATACCTATACTAGAAAAAAACTATTCGTAATGCTCCCTTCTAATTATAAAGATACGTGTTTGATTTCTTATAAATTTCCTCACAAATAAGCTAACGTCACTAACTCGAGAAATTTTCTTCATAAATATAACTGCTGACTATCAACATTCAATTATTTTAAAACAGATGATTCATGAATAAGTGGCAGATTTGAAAATCTGGACTTTATATTTTTCTTTGTGATGTTTATTCTATAAATTGTTTTGATAGAAATATTGATTTTTGTGAATAATTTCCACTTCAGAGAGCACTTGCTGTAGCGGTGGAAAGCAACCAAAGGCTCCAAAAGAAAAGAAACCAAAAAAGCAAAAACCAAAGAAACCTGATCCTAATGAGAAGGCCGAAACCGCCGAAGCAAAACCCGAAGAAAAAGCTGGAAAAAGTAGTGGAAAAGATAAGGAAAAAGGCGGAAAACCATCTCCGTATCAGGTATTTAAATGGTTTTGTAGATTTAATCTAAATATCTTATGCAATGTGCTGCAAAAATGCTTTCACTAATGAAATTCGATCAAAGAAAGAAATTCTGTTTTATTTCTTCTAAGTAGAAAATCTTTTTAGATCTGGAAAGAAATTTCATTGTTTTTCATTCAATTTTATGCACATTTTCAATCAAATATTTTATTACGCATAAAGTATTCAAAAAAAAACTTCAAAATCTGTTTTGTCATTTGTAAAATTCCACTTAAAATTAGATTTTAAACTATAAGTTAAAATTTGTTTATCTATTTTTATTTTTATTTTATTTTTCCTTTTCTTTATGTTAATTAAAAAACTATAAAATAATTTAACAAACAAAAAAATTCATGACACCAACGCTGTTTCTCAACAAACCAAACCAACCAAATATCATTAATGCATCAATTAAAAATCAAACTAAACTAAAACATAAACTATCAGGAGGTGTATCCAAAAAAGAAACGTGATTTGGTGCGAGCTCAATCTTCTTTTCAGGTGAGAGTCTTTAGTCCAATAACGTAGATGATGCTTCATTTTCAAAAGTGTCAACTTTCTTGTTCATTCAATAAAGAAAAATGTTGCCCTGCATCATTCTCATATGGTTCCTTCTGGTTAAATAACATTTGTGAAACGAGTTCTGGTTATTTTAGGAATGTGACTTCATCCATCTTCATCCTGCTAGCAAAACTATTTAATTTGTTACAACTAATCAATCAACCATTTTTTAACATAACAATGAGCTTGTTTTTAAAGCAATGTGTAGATAGTTTGCTTCTTAGAACTTCTAACAAATTTTAACAATAGCATTGAATAACATGTGCCATAATTTCTCGCCGCTTCCTAAATTGAGACATTATTTTCCCGAAGTGAGCTAATAAAAATCATAATTCCATCTCTTAACATACAATTATGAAACACAATTCATTGCTGATCAACATAAACATATTTTCTTTATATTTTCAATGCACGCAAAACTTTCATTATTCATGTTATGCGTTATGAGTATCAAGTATGTGATTTGCTTATTATTTTATTTTTATATTTAGTCTCTTTATTCCAAATTATACTTCAAATCATGCTTTAAAAATAAGGGAAAAGCACAAAACACGACGTCATTGTCAAGCACTAGACGAGAAGCTTAACACATAAATAAAAAAAATATTATAATTAATTTACTTTTGATGAATAGGAAACTCAGCCAGAAGCAGAAGCTGCTGTATCACCACGACAACGCAAACGAAAGACAACTCAAGATGCTCATGGAAGTTTCTTCCTACGTGTTGGTGCAATAGGTAGATTATCAACATTATTGAATGCTAATTAAATTACATTAATTTAATCTTTCCTTTTAAAGCTTTCGGTTTGGGATCATTGATTTATATCGGATTAGAGTTTGGATCATTCTTTGAAGTTCCATTTGACTCGCCATGTCATCAGATTTTACGAGGAGTCAATCCATTACTGCAAATGATTTTTACATTTATGCAAATGTATTTCATTTTCATGAATTCAAGAGTAAATTAAATAATATAAATTTTCTTTCGTATATTTTCTTCATTAATTTCTTTTCTTCTTGCATATAAAGTTGAACATTCACCGCTTTAAAGTTTTGGCTCGTTTTGGACTTATGCACGTGGTTGCGACGAATATTTGTGTTTGGATAAGAACTTTGGTCTTGGAAGCTCAAAAAGAAATTACAGCATATTATCTTGATAGAGTAAATGAACCAGAAGAAAATCAATTTGCTGAAAATCTTCGTCAACATACTTTAATTCATGCTGGAATGACAATGGGTACTGAGTTGGGACCTGGTAAGACATTTCAATTTATTTGTGATTTATTGTGTCATTTTTAATATGAAATATTTTCAGCACCACCAGATGCGGAATGGATAAGCAAGCCTAGTCGTTCCCTGAACATGCCTGGAATCTCCGCTGAAGATTCACCTGGTCATTTATTGGATAGGCTCATTCGAAGCACAATAAGTTCAAATATTCCGACAACAACTTTGATATCTACAACTACACCTGCAAGTACAACTTTTCTACCAACAACCACATCAACATCTTTTGTTGAGACAACGACAGCTGCGAGAAACTTTTTCCAATCCGGTTTCAATGCTATCAATTCAGGGTTCAATAATTTGAAAGATTCTATCTTGGATACGGAAACTACAACACCAAAACCTGTTGTTTATGAACGTCCCGTTTTCAGTTTGGGTGATTCTGCAGAAAGCTTCTCAACTTCGGAACCAGGATTCCTTGATGGATTCATCTCGACAGTTGCTAATAAGCTTGGAAGCATTTCTGATTTACGACCCGACCCAACATCAAATATTGATCATGAATTTGAAAGTTTAAATGAAAAGTTCAACATTTTACCGCGTGCTGAAGCTTTCCGAGGATTATCAACATTCCCACCATTCCACTTAAATGCCACAAGTTGTGAACGTAACAACATTTTGGGAACAACCGTTCCAGATTCAACGCCATATTTATATCCCTTCATTATCGAGTATTCCTTAATCGGAGCTGTCGTTATTTATGTGATGTGGAAACACATTGGACGTTATCCGAAATTTTCTCAAGATGAAGATCTTGAACATCGCCTGGAAGTTATGCTATCCCGACGTGCCGTCGCTCTTGCTCAGTCTAATTCTGGTCGCGTTGATTGTGTAGGCGCTTCAAAAGGATTATTCTTTGGATTGTTAATGCTTGTTGGATCAATGATTTGTCTTATTCTGTTCTTTGTACTTGTTAGACATGAACAATTCAGAATTATGGCTTATTATCTCGCCGATGCTAGTCATGGAATTCTTATGATTTTGGCCATTCTTGCTATTTTAATTGGATTCTGTCGGTAAGATATTTTCCTTATATGCCCCTTAATTCAAATTAATAATAATTAATTTTAATCTTTTTTCAGTGTAACAAGCTTAAAATTCCGATGTGAAGAGTCAACAAATCTCAATGACATTTTATTGCGCGTTTCAGCATTTGGTCTTTTCCTTTATTCGGTGTTCAGTGTGATTGCTGGAGCATTGAATGCTCATAAAGATGATCAAAATCTTCTTGTTACAATAACTTCATCAATTGCAATTTTCCAAGTTATTTTACAACTTTTATTCATTGCTGATGTTTCACGTCGTCGCGTTCATTTACCAGAACATGATCGTACAAAGCCTGGTCGTCAAATTGTCACATTTTTATTGATCTGTAATATTTCAATGATTGCCATTTATACATTTGAAGCACAGAAGGTCATGGCTAATCCAGTAAGTCCTTCTGATTTTTTTAAACATACATTACATTTAACAAGTTTTCTTTAATAGGTTCAAAAAGATTTTTATGGATTCATCACATGGGCATTAATTCAACGTGTCACATTGCCCTTATGCATATTCCATCGATTCCATTCAGCTGTAACTTTAGCCGAAGTTTGGAAAACAACATATAAGGCGCGTTTAGAATAAGAAGTTGCTCCTCTAGATGTTTTGAATGAAAGAAAGAATTAACGGAATTTTTTGAAAACCCAGTGATTATCAAAACTATTATGACGTTTTGAAGCCAGTGTGTTGAAAAGAAAGATATTCAAAATGAAATTCAAAGCTTTTGAACTTCAGATTTCACAAACGAAACAACATAAGATCAATTTTTCTAAAGTTATAATCTCAAAATTTCCCATTTTAAAATTAAGGGAACATTAACTCATAACCTAAATCGTAATTTGATACGGAAAATAGAATCCTTCATTAAAGAAATGAGAATTTACACGAGATATAATAAAATTTATTACGACATGTTTTTACAGAAAGGCGTTTTAAAAATTTACTGTATAGCGAAATGCATAAAGTGTTTACAAATTTTCGAGAATATCTACTAATTAGATAAACAATTGCTAAACGTGAAACTTAATTTATCAAATCTTGTCATTGTGCAATTTTCGACGATTTCCGTCGAAGAGAAAGAAGGAAAGAAATTGAATGATGTAAAAGATACTTAAAAAGTCTTTGATCTAGCTTAGTGAAAGCTTAAATTATAATGTAACTTAAACTGAAATAGAACTTGATTCCAAATCTATATATATAGATGTTAGATAACTTAACGAAATACTGTCACAATTTTGCATTGAAATAATTAAAATATTTGCTCATTCATTCGGTTGGTAGTATCAAGATAAGCGAAAATCATTTCACTAACATTTTGTGTCTCATTTTACAAGCAATCTTTATTGCAAACATTTCTTTTCTACGGAATCTCTCCAAATGGACCAAAATGAGAGCTGAATATTATTGGAAATTTTTTACAGGACGTCATTTAAACGTTCAGTTTATCATACTTCACAAAAATTTTATAAGACACACTTGATATACAAAAGAAATAAACAAACAATAGATTTTCAATCAATAAACGATAGTTGATAAAACTAACATTGAAACACTGCCGAGGATGATATAAATAAACAGATCAGCTGAGATATTTATAATTTACTGCTGAATTCCTGTGTAAATAACTGCTATGTTTGTATTTGATTATTAATTCTTTAAAATTTAATCAATTTGATTTGTCCTTTTTGTAAGAATGAAACTCTGCTTAATTGCACGTTTAACATCTCGATTGAACAAACATTATCTTAAGTATTTCTAAGTTGTCCTTATAATCTTATCTACGCACTTAAGTGTAGTTGTCCCATGAAATCTCTAGTTGTGACGTACTTTCGACTTTTTTACTTATAATAAAATAAATAAAAAGCGTTTGAGTAAAAGTTTTTTTAATTAGAAACACGTGCATCTTGTAACAATTTGTAATTTATTATCGTTTTAATTGATGGAAGACGAGACAGGAGATTTAAATTTTATAATACTAAAGATTAAAATTAAAATAATATGTATTGGCAAATGAAAAACAATTAAAAGATATTCGACGCTGTATACTTATTTGTGTGTTTGTAAAAGATTTAACGTTGTATTTAAGATGCTTGAAAAGGAAAAAAAATATACTTAACGTTATGGTCATCTCAAATTCTGAAGTCTCATTTCAGTTAAAGTCAAAGCTTTGCTCATATCCGAGCTTTGTTGTTTAAGGTATTTGATTAAATCTAATTATTTCTATTAACAACAACAGGAGATGAAGAAAAATGTAGCGTTGAAAAATCTATAGAAAATGAAATAAAATTTACGACATCAAGTATAACATTTTTTTAAGTTTTATTAATTTTTTCAGACCTTCGATATGAATAATCACCCTAAAGCGGATTTATATTAGACCAGCTTATAGTTAAAGTACCTCGTTTCTCTAACCTAAACAGGTTGTTGCAAAGATATGGAGAAACTTTCAATTAAGTGCAATGTTGCACAATGCCCCAAACGATGAAGACGACGACACACTGTCTCATGAGTGCCGGCATATGACGCTCGACTTAAACAAAACAATCAACATTAGCTTTGTCTCGGGCCGACTGCCACTTAAAAAAATCAAAAACTTATGAAACATACACGCGTTACCACTTTCTGCATTCAAAATTGTTTTAAAATATAGTAATTAACTGAAAAACATCATTTCAAACATTTATTTTCTTGCAAGCATAAATTTTAGCATGCAAACCTAGATAGGTGACTCAATTCTTTATTCTTCTTTTAAGCGTTATGATTGATGATCAAAATTTAAATAGTTAACAGCCCCAAGACAAAACTGAATGAAGATAAATTTTCTACAAGCACAAGCCAGAAAGATTTTCGTTTTACGAAATACTAATAAATTTTATTCTATGTGTTTATTCTTTTTCTAGATTAGTTATACAATGAAAATTGTATTTTTTAAGTTAAGAGATTTAAAACATGCCACCTGCTTAAAAGGTGACATTCTAGATACTTGTGAATGAAAATGATATTTTCACACAACCTTTTGCTACTTTACAAGTTATGACGTTGGTTGAGTATTTGTCTAGACACTAAAGAATGACTGGAATAAATATTGTAATAAAATGAATTGCACGATGTTTCAAAAGTATTCACAAGTAGCTTAATAGAAATATTGAGGCCAGTCATTCTTTTTCTGATAGCTTGACCCACTACCTCTCGGTTGATAATAACTGTTCTGATGATGGTGGTGATGATGATGCTGATGCTGGTCTGGATAGTAATCAGGATATGTTGGAGTTTCTGTCTTCAAGCTAACTCCATTATGTTGATTGTAAACATAAGCTTTAGATGAAGCTGGAACTTGAGTTGTCGAGTAAGGGCGAGTGTTTGTCTTAGCAGGTTGTGAAGCGAAGCCAAAGAATGGTGTGGTCAATTCTGGATACTCTCTTGAGAATGATTCTGAAGAGAAAGATTCGCTTGAAATATCTCCGAGATATTGGAAGGGTATTGATGTTCTGGTTGTTGAAGATATTCTAGGAGAAACTGGACCTGTTGTGAAAGCATCAAAAGGACGTCTTGCAGCACAAACTGTTCCTTGAAGAAGATTGTCCAAAGGAGCTGAGAAAATTCTAAAGTTTACATCATTGTAGGCAAGTTCGGAAAGTAAAAAGACTGGCATGCGATCTGAGATCACCCAAACAGTGTTGGTCTCATCAATTTTCACATCAGCTGGGAAAACTAAACCTTCATCATCACGATCAACAATTGCATGATTTTGAGGTTCGTAGGGTGTCGCTGAGTTCCAACATCCCACTGAGTTTTGATCAATCAAATTAAACAACATCACACCAGATTCACTCATAACTCTTGATGTTGTATGTGCATTTCCTGCACGTTCTGGCAAGTAAGTAAATTCATGGAAACTTTCTTCTAAACGGGTGGAGTCACGAAGTGTTTTTGTGGACACACTAAACTCACGATGAGATGCAAGTGGACTGAAGTATAAAGTTCTGAAACCATCATTTTTAATAGGTGACAATGCCATTCCAAAGATTCCTTCTTCGCCCCATTGGAAGTTTAATCCACCAATATTGAAATCTCCACGAAGTGGATCAGGAAAAAAGAAACTGTGAGCAAATCTCCAAGATTTGTTTTGTTCCCATGAGTAAGAAATTAATCCGTATCCTAACTCGTCAGAGAAGTAAGCATAAGTATCTTCACAATTCTTTCCAATATCAATAGCAATATTTGCGATGAATGTGTTTGGATTAGTATCTTCAGGTCTAAATTCATAACGGCGAATGCGTCTATCAGTTGCGAGGTCAAAGACATTAAGGGCATATGGGCAAACATTCTGTGTTGTATTTCCAATACCAACGGTTCCTGTGTCAAGCACCCAAAGACGTCCACATTTGTCAGCTGCACAAAGAGAAAGTTAAAAAAGAAACGGTAATAAAGCTATGTAAGTATGATAAGGAATATCAAGTTATAAACAACCTTTTATTCGGTAGACAGTCGATAATCCATTTGCGCAATCCCCTGCAATGTTGTTTTCTAGACTGGGATATGGTATCAATGGAGGTGATCCACTTGGCGTTCGATTCATGTCAATATAGTTCAAAACGGCTGGAATTCCTTTATTAAATAACGAAACAAAGTTAAAAAAAGTATTTAAATATCCAACTGTTTGGTATTTCTTTCCTATTAAACTAAGCAAAGTGAGTTCAATATTCAAATCATACTTTAATGAGGGTAATAACATAAACGATACTAAATATCGACTAGAAAATTGAGACCAAGGTTGAGGCTTAAACTTGACAAATGTAACAATCTTTCCAGAACGATAATTAAAACTCTTAAAGTACACTAAGTTGATTATTACATTAAGTTATTATTATACTACTTAATTCCAATCTGAGAATGTCTCTAACAACAATCATCTTCATGATCAGTCTTATTTATTGTTCTTGTTCACTTGTTTTATAAGTGCTTATGTCACTTTAGTGTATCCGATTAATTTCAATTAAAAAATTAAATTATAACTAAAATCACTTTAAAATCTGAAACAAAAAAGTTAAAAAAAACTTGTTGTTAAATTAACAAGTAGCGTGAAAAACAGAAAAAAAATCTTGATTGAAATTTAATACGATTTAATTATATTCATTGTACGTCTTATTTAATAACCAAATAAAAAAACAGTTCACAAATAACTGTGGTGTGGCCGCAGACACTAGTAATCGATACTTATGAATGATTTCATTGGAAAAAACTGAATCAATGAGTTGTGCGAATGATTAAGTGATCAACAAGTAATGTTAATTAATCGCTTTTTAAACCGTTATGGTTCTACAAATTGACCTTCTGAGGTCGTTTTCATTGTCAATGATTTTGATGACGTTGATCCCGGTAAACTATGGTAATACAAGAAGTATTACAAAATGTCTAGTGAAACGTGATTTGTTGTTTCTTACGTCTTAAAGGAAATGAAATGCTGATAATATTATTAAAAATATCTTAAAATTAGTTATTTATTGCAAAAGTTTCTTGAAATTATTCACCATATCATAAATAAGTAAGCTAAGAAGTTGTTTAACTGGATTTATAAATTTTAATTTATTCATGAACATTATAGCGATTATTTATCAATTTAAAAATGATTAAATATGGTTCACTATGTTCACTTTCCTAAAAATTGATTCTACGATTCCTTGAAATTCAGGTAGTCCCACGTTGAAGGTTTTTTCCTTTTCAAGATGATTGTCTTTTACTTTTACAGAGTGAAAGACAATTTACTTTTCAATACATATTTTATTCTTTTAAACCTTGGAAGCAAAGCAACTCAATCTTTATCATATTGCTTTTGCGGCTTAATTTTATAATCGGTAAACGTTTAACTGTAAAATTTGATCAAACTATGTTGATCTTTGATTGAACGTAGACAAATCTATAAAGCACTTGAAAACGTCAGGAATCTAATATGACAATCAAACTCGATCCTCAAATCACGCAAAGTGTAAAAACATGATTGCGATAAGTTTGGAACTTAAAAGTTTTTTGTTGTTAGTTTGATGTAGGTCTAGAGAGTTTAAAAGTAATAATAGCCCTTTTAACACTATTTCACAAAACACCATTAAAGTAGCATTCCTCAGGAATTTGAACAGTTAGATACAAATGCTAAATAAAGGTATTTTTAATTTTTCGAGTGAAGCTTCAACTTAAGAACGAATTTTAATTTGAGATTGATTTGTGAATTGAACAGTTAGGAACATTTTTTTCCTTCCCATCAAGAAATATCATTTAAAAATTGTTGAAATTCGATGCCGTTATATATAAAGAAACGAAATAATTTACACGTCAAAATTATAACATTTTGAGACTAATTGGTTACGAATATGATATCACTTAATGGGTATGTTTACTTCATTTAAATTACTACATTTACATGCATCATCGTAAACACTTAAAAAGATGTATTTAAATTTTGAATGTTATCTATGTTCAAGTTATGTCATCCTAAAAAACTTAGAAGTAATTATTTCAACTCTCAACCGTTTGATTTTGTTACGCAAATTTTTAAGCTTGGTGTAAACGCTTTTTTAACTACAGTTAATAATATTAAGCACCCATTTCTATTGTGTTACATATCTATCATTCACTAGATTGTCTAAGTTAAGACTGTGCATTGCAATGATTAACAAATGCTAATTTTCTCTAGTTCAATACTCGTTATTTGTTAAATTTGCCGTAATATTATTAACCACTGTCACACACTTTAAATATTGCAAGCAACCACTTAACCACTTAATTTTTAACTTTGAGGAAGTGTTTACAATAAGCTTAGTTTAAGTCACTAACCATTTCTCCATCGTGGGACTGTCACAAACAACTTATTTTGCCACCGTTCTATGCCAACTGGTAAACCATTAGTTGGAACATAATCACCAGATGCTACAGCCCGATCACGTGTTTGTTGATTTGGAAAAACCCAATCTAATTGACGCCAACTATAACGTTGTTGTAATTTTCCTGCTGCATTTGAACATCCAAAAAGTGTGAGAGAAAATAGCACACAAACGATGATTTTCATGTCTAATTTTTGAAGTTAATAATTTTCGCACAACTTTTATGTTTTGACAATTTTCCGACTCAATCGACGTTTACTATTTCACCATTAAACATTGACTCAAAGAGTTTTTCGAAGCTACACCAGTTTTATATTTAAAATATGCTCCCCACTTTTGATATTTAACGCATTGTAATATGAACAAGGTGGATAGTAAAAAAATAAAATCTGAATTTTATTTCTTTGTAAAGACCAGAAAAAAATTCTTGCGAATACAGATCAGAATCTCATCGTTGTTATATTTATTTACAATTATTTTTGATATTTTGGCTCTGTCTTAGGGTGTCTCAAAAACTTTAGAATCAAAAAGTAATTTGTGATCTATTGATGAAAGAACTTCTTCCAATGGTAGCAATTTATCAAAATTGATCAGTAGTCTGACTCATTAATAGAAAAAGAATTGTTTAATTGTATTGCATTGAGATTTTTAATATTGTTTCTAATTATAGATTCTTCAAATGACTCAAGCAACATAATTTTGTTTTAATTAATTTCGAGAACTTTAGAAACTCATCAAATCGATTTAGCTGTGTAAGTTTCAAACAATATTTTGAGAAACATAAACAAATATTTTGGTTTTTTTCATTGTCCTGAGATATCTTACACAGAGATTTAATAATTAAACATGAAAAACTACTATTAAATTATTCATTCCCACATCATTAATTAATAAAAACGTAGACATTTATAAAAAAAATTGAAATTATACCATTGTAAATCGTCTGTTGCAATTTATATCAATCAATCAACCAGCTTAAAGTGTTGGAAAATGCATATCAAAGCAAGGTTGTCCAGATTAAAAAAAATTTGTTGTTTAGATCAAATCTACAAGTATCGGGATTATCTGCTTGATTTCAAATGCACTTATTGACAAAAAAAGTTTGAAATATGATTGACATTATTAAAAATGCATAAAGTTAATTCAATGACCTAAGTTGTCTGAGGTTTACAAGTTTTAAATTCCCGTTATATGATTAATGATTGTTATGAATTTTAATACGATCTACGTTAAGCAGACTGTGGTTAAAGCAACTCTGTTTTCACGCCTCATTATCAAGTAAATCATAGCTGCTGGAATACAAAGTGAATAAATATTTATTGTGTTTGTTCAGTAAATTCGCAAACATTATAATTTAAGAACAACTGTAAATGTACCAAAATTCTTGAGAACCAAAAATATGTAAAACTGAAATTAATAACATTTCGAATATTGTTCAATTTCACAATAAAACCTTAACAATTAAGTCATATTTCTTTTTCTGATCATATACATATTAAAATGCCGGCAAAATGCGAAAATAAATTCCATACCTAAGTCATAAAAATTCTTTGAAATATAAAGCCGAATGCAGTTCACAGTTCACTGATGAATAAAATAACGCGTGGTGTTTTCTTTCAAAGCTGATCAAGTTGAACATGGAAATAAGCAATTACTAATTATTACTACACTACAAAGTAACATGTGTTTGATACATCTAAATGCCATTTAGCTACTTCCAAATAATTAATTTCTTCAAACTTCATCAAATTTTGAATGTTGAAGATTTTAAGAATCAAGTCGGAAGTGCAATAACAATTTTTGTTTTACATAATTCTTTAATAATCATTGCTGATATTGAACTTGACTGTTCTGTACTTCAAAGAAATTAAAATCATTTTAAACGTGCGTAGTGAGAAATCAATTTGTCGACACAATTGCGAACAGACGATGAATGATGACATATTCCTTAGTTGGAATTGTGAATCGGTAATCGTCTGAATCTAAACGCGACAATATTGAAGTTGTGTTAACTTTTACAAATAGATATGTTATAAAAGTAACAGTTTAGGGAGATACTTGATTTGAGCAAATGCAATCCTCTCGTAATATTGTCGCATAAGATAAATTGCGTAATGATGCAAAACCAAAGTGTTTTGTAAGTAAAGCATTTAATTTATATATTTAATATATTTTAAGATAGATCTATTTGCGGTTTTGTCGTTTTATATTATAAATATCATTTCAGCCTTTCTAAAAAAGTCCACTCATCTCAAGTTTCCATCCTATTAATATAATACATATTAGCATTGAAATCAATTCGCAATGATTTGTGATTGCGGTTTTAAGCAGACTCTTAAATTCATTTGCAGTTTGCATTCAACTTAACGCTTTGATGTTTTGCTATTACATTTGTTCATTGCTTCTGCTATTATCAAGTGAGTATCAAAGTATGTATTTATAAATATGAAATATTTCTATCAATGCATTGATTAACTGATGAATACATTGTTAATTGCAAATAAAACAAATGACAGTCAAAATCAGAAGGCAGAGCAGGCAGATAAATTAAGTTTTTAACTCGTCATTGATGCATCAATTTTACTCACTTCACCTCACTGAGATCATAACTTTAGATATATGCTGACTGAAAAATAAATGTCAAAGAAAATAATTTTAATTATTTAAAAATATTATTGAAAATCATATCAACTAGAACTTTAAATCTAAGCAAGATTTGGATTTTAAATTTAATTGATTCAACTGAATGATTTTCATCAATTTTGTGAAGGGCACTTGTCGGTAATTACGACTTTATTGGCACTGGTGGCTAAGCGAGCAGCACGTTCCTAATTTTTGTTTGCTAACCAGCGTTAAAGGTTTGAACATAGCTATTGTAATGAAAATTATCTTTTATTAAAAGCTTTATTAATTACCTCTTCAGATTTTTATTTAAAACATTACACGTTTATAATTAAGTTAATAAAAAAATAACTATAAATAAACATGAAAACATTTCAGAATCTAATTTGTCAACATTGATTTTTATCTGTGATATTTTTTCAATGTTTATGAGTCAATTAAAGCATAAATAATAATTGTAATGATTATAGCTAACTTTTATATTTTGATATAAATTCGAACGAATTTTTCATTAAATTAATTTGTCATTATAAGTTGTAATATCTAATTAGATACCTATCTAGTTCATTTTTCTTGATAGCCGTATTTTCGTACGCGTCACAATTTGTTTGCTTTGAAATTAGAGATAGAATTTTAAATAAATTTGTATTATGAAATTCATATTTTAAGTACCTACATAGATATCTAGATAAGTTTTTATGTTGTCTTACACAATCAACCGTAATTGAACAGTTTTTGTTGAAAATCGTACTAGATTTTTTCATTTTGAATTTAAAATTATTAACCAGTAACCTTAACGTTTGATTCAAAACAGATTTTTCATCTCTGTTCAAAGGAAATATTTATGCTCTCAATGGCTTTAAAAATTTATTTATTATTATTTATTTCAACATCAGTTGAGCTGCCCTCAAATTTAATCTTATAAAATATCCCAAAATCTTTGAATATGCAAATATTTAATAACAATCTGCATTCATAATTTAAATAGATGTTTATGCTATGCTGAGATGTTTCTTTTCTGATATCAAAAGTATCTATCTATATCGAAATCTTGCAATCTCTGGTTCTAAGCTACTTGCGTGATGTGCAACACATTTGGTGTTTGTTTTTTTGCAACGTTTTCAAAACAAACATATTATTAAGAGTGTTTTATAACCACAGAAAACGATTTATCGCAAACAAGATGCGCGCTTAAGAGCCGGTCAATAAAAGAAAATTTTTAAGAAATACTCCAAGTGTTATCGACCATCGAAAACAAATAGTAACCGCCAATTTCATGTAAATTACTTTTGAGCCCACTTTTTTATTTATCGACATGATCATTAGATATGGTGTCTGGAAACAACACGATGCGTTACTGTCTGATTAGAAGTTAGATCTTTCTTGATCAATGGCTACCTTTTTTCTTTGATTAAAGTTTTCAGATCATCTTTAGAAAGAGGCCAAAGAAATATCTATCATTTCTTTTATATTAATTCAAAAAAAGTTAAAGATTAATGAATTTAATAACACTTTCGCGCGACCTGAAAAATAGAAAAAAAGGATCGTTTCACATAATTGTTGCATTCACAGATTATACTCCAGATTGTTATTATTAAAAATTTTTTGTTATATGTATTTGGTTCAAAAAGCATTTCTTTACTTAATTGATATCATCATTGGACATAATAAAATAGGAAAATGGTTGTATTAAAATTCGCTCCCTTTATTCTTAATGGTATCGTAAGTATCAAGAGATCACAGCGACCGGCGCACGAGTTTCGATCCATCTTTCTTGTTTATGTGTTTCTCCCAATTATATAAAATTGAATTGCACTCTTTTCATCATATAAATGAGGTTTCATGCTTCAGTAATAACTGAACTTAAATTGATTATTTTAGTTCTTGCAAAGTTTTCTTGTATTCGCGTGTAAATAATTTTATTTTGCTAACGATCCTTTCAGTAAGATTGACGAATTAGCTTCAAAGGAATCAAATGAGATTAATCGCTATTTTTAACACTTTAACTTTCATTAAATTATTTCGGAAACGGACAGGAACTTCTAAATAATGTTTCAATAATAATATTAATAATATTAAATAAGTATCTCAATGAGTATCAAGCATCACGCAAGCATATTTTATTTATTAGATTTCTTTTGAAAGATTAATTTTGAAGATTAAAATAAGGCAAAATTCAAATTTAATTAAAGCACGGAGTAATAATATGCAAAGACGTAATCGATAACGAGCACTTGATAAGAAGATTTAAACACGATTAAATAATGAGTGCTTGAGGATCATGAAACTTTTTCTCACATTATATTGAAAGGTTGTTTCATCATATTCTCAAGTTTTTAGGAAAATTATTTAGAATAAAGAACTCGTGGCTTAATTGCAACTCGGGCCTCAATTATATAATTTACCTTCTTGAATTTCTTGTAGCCGTCTCGAAAAAACGAAGAATACGCAAAAAAGGAAAAAGCGAATAAGAATTTTTGATGAATGGAAACGTAGAACGAGAAAGATTAGAAGAATGAAGCCATGCCCTAATGTGCCTGTTATTTTATTCCCTTCACCACTCATGTGATCATCATAAAACTTTATTCCGCAAAAGATTTCTTCGTGCTCCACAATAATTCCTTAATTGATATGGAATGGATCTAATAATTTGAGAGTTAGCTTAATAGTGTCAGTGCATTTGGGCATTTTAGACAGGTAGATGATTTAAAATCTTCTTCACTGGAATTTCTTCCTCGAGCAGGGTTATTTTGAGTAATTCAATAAACTGCGTCAACAAGAAAACGATTGGCAAAGAGAAAAGTTTAACCTCGGAAACTCAGAACATATTTTCAAAGCAAAAAGATTGTTCAAGTTTTACAACCATTATGTCACTCGAGTCCACTAAAAAGTACTTGAAAGTAACAAAGGCTTTAAAATAGCTAAAGAAAAATATAATGGGGAACTTATTGTCAGACATTTAGACAATGTTTCGAAGACGTTTTAAATGATCCCTGAGTTTTCCTAAAAATCTGTGAGTGTCAGAAACGCACAATGAATTTTGCAGCATGCGTTCTATTTATTGCTTTTCAGCAATAATTACTGTTTTTCTTGACTTGAAAGTAGCAATCTTCTTCTATTTTCCTAATATTTAAAAGATTTGCTGCATTTGATTAATGGATATGATTTTGCAAAATTAATGTTTGAAATGATTTAAGCCATTTTAAAGCAAATTTTTCAGGGAAAATGAAACTATGATTAATTGAAAACAAACAAGATATTTTTTAAGATCTATTTGCTCCTTATTATATTATAGTGGTGGACGAATAATGAATGGCTGCGACGGTCAGCGCCCCTGATCTAATTTTTCATCTTTATTGACCATTCAAAGTAATTCATTGATAAAGTTCGAGGGAATATCAATCGGTATTTGAGAGTTGAAAATTGTCTTGGAAACAAAGTTTATAAGTTTTGCTAGCCTTAAAACATAAATCTTGATGAATTTCATTTCTAATGATAATAACTAAAATTCTTCTTTCTGGTAATAAACTAGACACAATTTATGTCTTTAACATTGTGTTTTAATAACATTAATTTTTTTCTATTCATATCATCACTGTCAGGTTCACGCATAGGATTTTTAGAATGCAAACAGCTTGAAGGTTTGCTAAACAATAAAGAAACAGTAAGCAAAGAGGCTTGCGCCTATATCGGAAATAACATAAAATTTTGGCACATGCTGAGTGCATTGACCAGCTTTTACATGATTCATTTTTCATAAAGAATAATGCTCGTTTATTGCATCTCATTACAAACCCATTTTATTCTATTTCTATTCATATCTACCTTTTTTCATAAAATATTGCTTCAGCATTGTTGAATATGTGTGTATTGTCCGAGAATATTTGAAAAACGTCGATAAATTAGCACTTTTAGATAAATGTTTTGTTTTTCTTTTTTCTTCGTTAATCTTCGTTTTTAATTTATTATCGCGACTCCATTTTAAGTTAAAAATCTTATTTCCTTTTTCTATTTGCATGGATAGTTTGAAAATTTTCTTAATTTAAAATAATCTTTTGTGAAATGAATTGAATAAGTGAGGTGAATGGAACAAATCACCCTGGTTTAAGTCAGGTCACTTATTTTAGTTAATTTTCCTTACTTTGCTTGAAGATTTAAAATGCATGTTACCTCAAACTATTTGAAAGTCTTTAAATTTTGTGCAAATTTGTTTAACATTTAAAGCTATAAATTTTAGCAGCATTTGAAGAGAAGCGCCTCATTGTCTCAAAGATAAATTTAAAGCGTCAACGCTGTAGGACAAAATCTGTAAAATATTACTCGAAGTTATTGAAAATTTTACAGCTTATTGTGTTCAATTGTCTTCGGAACCATATGACGCAATCTATTATAATAAAAGCCGATAAAGGAAGAAAACAAAATTAACAAAAGCTAACAAACCAGATTTCCGAAGAATTTTGCATAGTTCATTTAAATTCAATGGTCAGTGGATGTTTTGTAGCGAAAATATTGTAAAATATCAATTTCATAGTTCATCTTGCGTTCATTATTAAAAATTGTAGCATAAAATGATGCGAGGTTAGAAATAAACAAAAATTCTGCTAAGATTTTTAGACAAATTGCTTTCCAATCGTGCTCGACAAAAATGTTTAAGCTGTGTTAAGAAATTTTACGGCAGAAACGCAGCATGCTTACAGCGATTTCGTCATTTATATCAACGGGGAGCTTAATAATACCACAATTTGATAATTTTATTGCATATTTATTAACTCTTAATGATTATATTATTATAAGCCGAGATATTACAAATGTAGATACACGGCTTAAATATTAACGATTAAAATCATTTTATCTTTGATATTCGTAACTCGAATTCGTTAAGCAGACCAAAAAAGAGTTTTGATGTTTTTAATCAACGCAGTGACTTTGACTTACATAAATCATTTACAGCACAAATTTTCCTAAAATCATAAAGTTCTATGCGTCACAAAGGGCTTCACAGTTCAGACTGCAAGAGCGCCAGTCACTGAATTTATAAACATCTGCTAGTGGCACATCTTCTTTGCTTCGCACTGTTTTATGGAAATTTAATATGCTTCTGCCTATAATATTTACCTGTAATATTCTATGATGGTTTGAACATTAGTTTCTTCCAGCACGAAGCAAATTTAAAATGTGCAGAAGAAAACAAAGAGGAATAAACGTTGATGGCACGGGCCTAAACATATTGTGTTTCAAAAATCATTTTCACGATTAAAATCTAAATAGTTACAAGAAAAATACAAGGTTTGTGCACTTTTCTTTTGCATGTTTTAGAGCGATAAATGCATCTCATAGTTGGGAAAGGGTTTGAAAGATTTCTTTGAATTGTCTTGCAAATATTTACTAAGCATATGACATCCTTTTCTGCTTCTTATATTTCAACTGATCTTTTTTCTTTTGCAGAAGCCTTTATCGTCATGATCATGAATCAAAATCGAAATGTAAAGCACACAGCAGGAAATTGTTAAAACGATATTTTTTCCATCCCTTTTTAACTCAATTTATATTCAGCGATTTTTGGCTTAGTTAGAGGAAGAGTTCAAACAATCTAAAGAAGAATGATATTCTATTTGGAGAAATAAAAAATAACGCAACGATTTATCTTTAATATTTTTAACCTCGTTAAAAGGAACAATAAGATAAATCGCTTTCTTGTTTCATTTCACACCTTTGAACAAATAAGTAATTTTTATCAAAATAACATTGATAAATCGCTTTTCGATTTGGTTTTTAAATTTGTTAATAGACTTTAGTTTTAAATGTGATCAGTTATTTTTAATAGATCTGAATTTATTATTCTTTTAAATATTTGACAATAAGAAGAGTTTTTATTTTAATTAAAGATTCATTTACACAAATTCTAAATACATTTGTATGATGAAACATTTGAAAATTTTAGATATAAATTGATCAATGTGCTTACATTGATCGACACTAACAATTTTATCCTTGTGTGGTCTTTAAGTGATTTGAAAATTCTCAGTGCTGGCTACCGAAGATAAAATGCAACATAATTTTTAATTTGATTGAAGCAAATCGCATTATGCGTTTATGTCGAATAAATTCCATGACAATTTTAATGTATGCATTCAATGCTATTTAAAAAAAATTGATATTGTGTTCTTGTGATCGAAATTGAATTGAAGTCAAGCTTAAAGTGATAATGAGTAGTTTTATGGCTTTATCTAACACTCTAAATTATGAAATGTTGTAGACATTCATAATATGTTGCAACTTGCAACTTGCAACACAAACATTTTATGGAAAAAAATTCAACTGGTTATTAATCGGTTTCCAAACGTCTCCAAATCTTTGCACTCAAGTAATGTAGAAAGCAAAATAATATTTCAACTCCTGATAAAACGCTTAGACTTAGAAACAAAGCCAAAACGCTGCCAAATGCTACAAGAAAGTCAACAAATCCAAAGCGCACTTGCCTGTAGAAATTTAGGATCGGACCATGTTTAATCTCCAATTTGAAATTATTGGTTTGAGCAGAAGATTCTGAAATAGATCTGAACATAAAATTAGTACATATCATAATAAGTAGGTTAACGAAGACAAAATAACTTACATTGATTGTACATTTTCAAGTGAAAAAACTGTGACATCACATGTTAAGTAACAGTGAGAACATTTTTCTTCTGACCAAATATCATGATGCATAAAACATTGCGTGTCTTGGACATCACAAAACCTTAAATTAAGTATTGCTGGTCGATAGAAAGGAGGCAGACATCCACATAACTCAATCGCTTCATCGATTCTACATTCTCTCAGGCAAATTGATAACGAATAAGGTTGGTCTTGGTAGTATTTCATTTGAATTTCGTCTTTAAAAACACATTTTCTTTGATGTGTTGATAATTCACGGACATTTCCATTTGTTTTGGTTTGCTTCAATGAAATGAATGCTAAAGTTGATGATTGTGAATTTGTTTCTTCAATATGAATTTGTTTCAAACTTAATGGCTCATCGATTGCATTCAAAAAAATATTTGCTGGTATTTTTGGTTGAAATTGAAGTTTTTCATTGCCATCACTATCAATTAAGAATAAATGTTTGTTCAAGACTCTGTAAAATAGATTCAAATGAGTTGTGAAAATATTTTAAAAACTTTGTTATTTACTCATTCGTTGGCGTATCATGGAAGTGAGAATTGAATGAATAGCAAAGTCCATGTTCAGAAAGAACCGGTAAGAAATATTTCCAGCAATCAATTTCTTTGTTGTTGAATTTACATGATCCCAGAACATTGTTGCAAGTTGGCGATAATTCAAATATTTTACTTCTAGCATTTTCCATATCAATCGAAGAATTTTGGTGTAAAAAGAAATTTGACCAATCGAATAATTTTAATGTTTTTAATCGGTGAGGAAAATTCGCAAAATCTTTTAATACGTTTTGGTTGAGTTTTCTTTTTTCTGATTCTTTAACTTTTTGTTGGAATATTGGACAAACAGTTATTGTTGGGAAATGAATTTTCATTCCCTCATCATCAATGGCCATACTTGTCAATGTCGGATTGTTTTGAAACTTCCTCCATGCTTTATCTGTTATTACAAAGGCCATCAAAAATCCAAGCGCCAAAAACGTTATCCAAAATATGCTGTTCAAAAATAAATCGAAATTTTAATGTTTTAAATCATATTAACTTCTAAATCAAAGTTTGAACTTGCTTTTCTTTGAATTTTCGATGAAAGTTTTCATTTTGAAGTTCCTTTCTAGATCCAAAAAGATTTTTAGTTTTGTAAAATAAACTCAAACGAAATAATCGAGGAGTTTTATAGATTAATTTAATATGTTCGGTCTCATCTTGTGAAAAAAAATCATCCTCAATTATGTTTTCAGTACTTATTTTGGTTTTAATTTCGACCAGCTCCATTTTTTCAGTCTTTAACGAAATATTTCCTTCCACAACTATGGATAGTTTCTGCTTTACACCTTTTTATATACCAGTTTCAACTTTTATGAATAAGTAATAATCAATTATCCTATCAGATGATTGGAAATTTCATTGTCATGTTGCACGAAGAGAATATTAATCATTAATTAATGAAGCGAAATAAAAACCAAAGCATTGTTTTCAACTTAACTAATGAATTGCGTTCAAAATATTGATAAGCTACAAAGTTCTGATACATTTAAAGGATAAACAAAATACAAGTTCAGATTTCTATTTTAAGCTATTTGAAAATTGTTCTGAAAATGTCGAAATATTAACATAAATCGCCAAAACCTTCAGTAGTTTCTGAAAACAACGTAATTATCGTAGATTTGAAGTTTTTTTTTATTTATTTAGGTAGGTATTAGACTTCATAATAAAAATTGCTATATCCTTACAACTTGAGAGTTGCAATAAAAAGCACAGTTCACTGCTGTTCCAGAAAAATCTCATTGTGTGTTAAAGTTGTGCTTCGACGTCACTCACCAATTTCAGTGGTGAAAGTATATCCGATGAATTGGTGTTGTGATATGAAGGCATTATAAGCCATATTGCTAACAGAACCATCTTACATGACTTTCAATCCACAATCTGTCAAATTTTGGCCCTCAAATAAACCACTGATAGACGTTTGATGGTGTCTTCACATTCAGTATCGATTTTACTGCTATCTATAAGTAGCATTTATGCATTTTTGGTGTTTAATCATTCAAAGCACTTACATATTTTGCAGAAGTAACAATATAAATAAGTAACACAAATTTATTTATTCTCATCTTTAACCTTTTCACATCAGCGCGGGTTTCACTAATGAAATTTTTTTTGTATTGACTTTTATATTTAAGTACAAAAAAAAATCTGGTTTTGGAGTTTTTTCTTGTTCTCAAGACTAAATTCAAGAGGAATTCTGAACGCCTCCAAAAATGTTTGATTTTCTCTTGAAATTTCGTTTAAATAAGCTTTTAGTCATGGACACTTTTAGAAGAGTGATAGTTAATTAAATTACACTCCGTCTGAAGAAACTCTCGTGAGAATTATTTGTGAAATGAGATTCAAGTTTTATCCGAAAAACAAGAAATATTTTATAAACATCTATATCGATCAAAATATTTATTAGAAGAAGTAGTTTTAAAAACTTTAACATACTAAAAGTTTCTTTGCATAATTTGTTAGAGTTTTCTTAATTTTATTGATATTGAGAAACTCACGTTGCAAGTAACGTGAACGTTTCAAAATGTTTCCTTCAACTTTTTTCTTGCTTTCTTGCACTTTTCTTACTTTTTCGGTACATAAAATTATAATTTCTGTAACTATATATCCTTAAAAACAAATTGAAATTGGTTTTTATTGGAGCCTCTTCAAGAAAACAAATTGGTGCAGAATTTTAATGTTTTAATCAATACCCTTGCAAGTTACGCGATCATTTACATATAACGGAACGTGCGAGTTGTCAAATTCAATGAATTGCCTTTGAAGCACTCAAAACAGAAATCATATAAATAAATTGCAAGTTGGTTCTTAAAACTGCCGTTAAATTCTTAAAGAAACACTACTACTGTCGGTTGAATATTAAAATTATTGGTGGAACGTTGACCAAACATGAAAGCATAAATGTTTTATGAGCCGCCTTGCATATGAGTTGCATTCACTACCTCAGATGTTCAAAAGAATGAGGGTAGCAAGGTGCTTATGGTGCTTCGAACACTGCCAGTGTTGCAAGTAATTTATTAAAGTGCAGTGTTCAAAACAGTGGACAATCGTCGGGTTGAATTGAGTGTTTTCATGTGTATTTGAACATTGTTTAAATATTGAAATTATTTCTTTGTAAGCGAAACATTAAACGAATTTTCAAATGACGACAGTAAAGAAACAGGAAAAATTGTTTATGTTGAAGTTTTTAATCTTTGTCGGAGGATGGCTTAATTCCGTTTCAAAGTTAGCGGTGAATAAAGTTTTAATTATCTTGCTCTCACGATAACTTTACTGCAAAAACATTTACGTTTGCTCATCATACCAAAATATCTTATATTAATAACCCTCATGATATAATTAAGAAATTTAAAGCGCGTGCCATGTCGCAAGAACTTTGGAAAGAAATGGCTTAACGTTGAACAACGGAATTAATGAGAATTCAATTAGCACAAAGTGGAAACTGCAATAAATTCAAAATTTCATGTGGTTTCGAAGAAACTCAAAAATAAGAAGAAATGTTGGATCTTTGTTGATATTTTATATTCCACATCGCTTGCACTTCGAAATTTCTTTGGCACGATTCCTAGAAGAAAATTCTGAACATTCGACTTCGGTCTCTTTCCTAATAGAACCTTAAGTTAAAAAGTAAGCTAAAATTAAGGTATCAAAACTATCACACGCCCAAAATTTTATATTTTGACGACGATTCACCTTGCTGACCGCAAAATATTTTAAGTTATCATAAAACAAATAGAGGATGGCCAATTATTTGTGATTTATTAGATTAGATACATTTCATCATACTTTTTTGCCAGATATGGCAAGGAAATCTTTGACAAGTATTGAAGATTAAGACAAATGAAGAGGAGGATATCTTTGAAAAGATATCCAATTCAAAGATTCCGATGAACCGAGCACTAATAAAAATCAAATTAAGAAATTTTTCTTTGATATTAATTCTTTAAAAGAATGAGTATCTCGAAGTCCTGCCGATTGACACGATAGGTGTGCCGTCATTGTTCCGTCGTTAGTTTTTATTTTATTATTCTTCTCAACAAAAAGAAATTTGTAAAAATTGGAGCAAACGTTTGAAATTTATAAGATTTTTTAGTCTTACAGGTGAATGCTCAAAAGGAGATTTTTCGGTAGAATTAAAAACTTCACAATAACTTTATTATTCGAAAATCGGTGATTAAAAATTTGATGAAGATTCAAAGTAAAGGAACTCAAAGTTAATTATCGAGATTTGATTGCAGTTTATGTTTAGCACAAAAACTGATATCTAGTGAATAATTAAATATGTTTTAAAGATGAAAAATACTTAAAACAAGTTTTGTATGTTTGTTTGTTCAAGAAACAAGCAAAACCCAGACTCGGCAAAACATAACAAAACATTCAGGTAAAAAAATCTGAGAAAAAAGAAATTCTCGACTTTAATTTTTTTTCCATTTTTATAAATATTTTTTCGTCATATTTGAGTTTTGATATTAAGGATTTAAAACTAAAAAGGAAGTTAAAAGTAAAAATGTTGGTTCATGTTCCATTGAAATTACGAGTTGAAAAGGTAAAACAAGTTCAAAAGTCGTTTCTAATCAAATATCATGCCTCAAAATATCCGGTGATTTCTCATTCATTATATATCAGAAGAGTTTGAATGTGTTTTGCATTCAATTGCAGTTCCATTACTCACCACGATTATTTGTAAAGTGATTGCGTTTCTACGCTTGCATTCAATAAAGCGCAAGCCTTCGAGCAGATCTCGTGATCGTTCAACTTAACCATGAGAAAATCTTATTTCCTTTGTTCGACTCCATTCAACTTCATGAGTTATGAATGAAAGACTTTTTGTCGCTTAAAGCCATTCTGGAATTGAAATAATGAAAAAATCTCACTTTTGTTAAGGTGATATAATTTTAGTTATCTGTCAGTGGATTACTCGTTAGTAAAATGACCGGAAATAGTATCAATGCATTTATCAATATTCAAGTTATTGAAACTACTAAACAGTTAACAGAAATAGCGGAAATTATTCATAATTTGTGACAGTAGTGTTTAAATTTGTCCTGAGAGAACTAACATTAAGTCAAGACAGTGTTGAGACCACGAATTTTTTATTCTTTTAGCTGTGATATTTAAAAATATTAATTAAATATTATATGATACGAGAACGCTCTCATTTCTTTACTTGAACATAAAAAATGAATTTTGAGTTAAGAGAGTAATTAAATTTAACTCTAATTAATATGATTTGGAAATTTGAGCGTATAATTGCAAAGGTATTTTAGTCATAAAAATAAAGATTTTTGATATGTAGTTAAGTGCTGAAGGATTAATAAAATTTTTTTGTCGTCGTTGATCCCATTAAGAATATTTGGTGACTAGCGCGAAACAAAAGTGCAAATTATGACTTAATTAACGATTCAATTTACGACTCAACTGATAACCATACGGCAGCATTCTTATTGCTTGCTTTTTATGGTCTGGAAATCTGGATTGATCCTAAAACTCAACGACTCATAAAAGATATTGATGAAATTAACACAAAAACTTGAATGTATCATTCACGAATAACTGCTCAAAAAGAGGCGCTGTGAACTTTGATTGCGTTAAAAATTTGAACCATTAAAATCTTGTAACAGAAGAATTTTTTAGATCGTCTAGGTTTCTCCTTGTTCCAACAATAAACATGATCAGATCTGTTTTAAAACAATCCTTTCTTCTCATTTTATTACCTTTCTTAGAATTCTAGCAATAAGCGGCGCTGGGATTTTCTATTATAGCGATATAATATATTTCAAACCCTAATAGATCATTTATTAACTTCTTCACACATTCCAACTAATTTGTTAAATTTCTTTCTTCTTATTGCATAACGACCCTCGGTAATAAATTTCGATTTTACTGCGATAGTTTCAACAAGATATAAAGTGAAAATATTAAAAACAAAATTCAAACTTTAAAATGATGATTTTTTTAGCAAGATGAGCCTTCCCGATAACGTCAATATTTATTAATTGTCTTTTCAAATAGTGCCGGATGTTGGCTTTACCAAATGGTGAATAAACGAAATGACTTCAAGAACAAAAGGATTACAGAGCAAATCTGAGAAAAAAATCCAATATCCCTTTCCTGAAACATTTTCTGATTCAATTAAATGATATTCGAGAAAGCAAAAGGATGTTCCATTTCTTCAACCGCAAATGTCTAAGATTTTTTTCCTAATATGCTTTTCGAAACATTAAACATTATGCAACATTTTCGATATTCTTCCTTCGATCTTTGAGAATCATAAGAAGGTCAAAATTATAAATAATAGGGAAGAAGAAAAGAAAAGAAACTCAATGAAGTAGCCACAACCTTTGTAAGTATCATTTACGCATTCAAATAAAAGTTATCGGCTTTTAAATTTGTTGCATCATGAATAAAATAAAATAAAACTCATTATGTTACTTCAGAACGGAGAAATGTACGAAACTTTTGAGATGAGCCGAAAACGCTTTCATGTGGTTGAAAATAAATGTAATTGGATTATATTTGCGGAATGGTAATTTAGGTTAATTTCATCTTTAGAGATGTATGATGACAACAAATAAGATAAATCATCTATGTGATATTTCATTGTGCAAAACTATTTAACTAATCTAATTCGTCTATAAAGTTAATAGAAATTAAAGTAAAGCTGGAAAATACGTCGCATCACTGGTTGACTAATATCACAAAAAAATTATTGTGTGGGTTGAAGCTGATATTTTGTTAACAAAAGAACTACGAGGGTAGGAATGAAATAATCAACATTCAACAAACGAAAAGAACACATTTTCGTTGCAGTGCTAAGGGCAGGTGGTTGAAATACATTCCATTACATTTATACATAAACTGAATAATTATACAAGAGGTGTGCATACAACATTTAATGTTGTCCCCAGCTTTCAAAAGGAAACAAAATTGGAATAATCATAAATATTTGCTATTAAATCATGAAAGTTTTCGCTGTTTCAAAGAGCATATGGCTGTTTTTGTGGCTGTGAATGGATTTTAATTCTTCCCTTCATATAAAAAATGTTGCTACCTAGACCTAGCGTAATGAAATGTAAAGTAATGTAAATAAAAACTTAGTCAATAAATGTAAAATTGTGTAGAGAATTGAGTTTTGAAAACTTTCATCTCCATAAAGATCAATCAGCCATCAACATTCAATTGATATTCTTGTATTGACACAAATGTTCTCTGACATTTCAATATAAAAATCACCCTGAAGGGGGGTTTATTTAATTCTTTTTTGATATTTTTATCTTTCAATATTTCTATCTCCCTCTCTTGTTCTCTCTCGACTTTAACTTCGTTAATTTTAGTTGTGTTATTTAATATAATGTTATCCAAATGCACCTGCCTTAGTTTTGGCTCGTGGCTTCTTTTTCAACAGTATTTACAATTTCTCTTCTTTCTTCACTCTTCAGCCGTCAAACGAAACAAAAATAAAGAGAGAAAAAAAAGTCGGAAACAGTCAATGTCTATTTAGAAGAATGAAATCTTGGTACTTTCCAAAGAACTCTTGTTGATTAATTAAAAGGAAAGAAAAAAGTTATAAACATGATATATATTTTAATAAAATCGCAAATTGTGAAAAATATTTCCACTCGAAATGCTTCCAGGGTTTCTTTTGCAGCAATTTCTCATGCAATTCTTCAAATAACTCGCATTTGGTGTTGAAGGCTGGATTTTATTATTAATTTTCTTAGTCGTCGGTCGTGAATTGTGGTGAAGTCGTAATTATTTGTTATTAGAATAAGAGCTGACTTTCACTCGACAGCATTAATTTTGGAAGCATTAAAGTATTTTCAGTTATAACGTAATCGAGTCCTATTGACGGAAAATCACTCGCATGGGTAGTTGAACTCATTTATGACAATTTGAAGCTAATCAAGAACATCAAAATAATTTGGTTGAAGTAGAATGTTGAGTAAAATTAATGTCATAATTTGACTTATTCACAATAATCCTTTTGGATATGACTCCAAATTGCATATAATTCTCATAATAAACTCAACATATTTTACAGGAAAGCGAGAGTGAATGCCTTTCTCAAATAATGCGAACTGATAAAGAAAGAGAAATTGAGTTGTACTTGCACGCGTAGTATAATAACACCCAAGAAACAATGTTATTCTGAAATTTCCTTTTAAAAAAGAAAATTAAAAGATCAGATTCGATGCTTACTCGTAAATTTTACGCTTCTTTTGTGTAATATCTATAATTATTTGTGTGGGAAAAACTTAAATTAAATTCAGAAGCGCAGGTCAAAATTCTGATGCATAATATTTAATGTGTAACGAACGAGTGACTCTCAATCGCTTCAAGCAAAGCCCATCCGAAAAATTATATGAAATTATTATCGCATATTCAGTCGTGATCTAAAATTTGCCAAAGTTCATTATTTTCGTTATTTCAATCAAGTTTCATAACTACAAATTGATCAACTTCATGAAATGAAACAATTGACTCTGTGCTACGTGAAGAAAGGCTAAAGGGTTAACGATACTACTTGCACTTGTCCGGTGGATTAACAACCTTGTTTGTTTCTCTCTTTTGTTACTTAAAGATTTATCATGATAATACTGAACAATTCATTAAACTAAAAGTAATCAAACTTTTTATAACCTTTTTTTCTTCAATAAGCTTTAATCGACAATCTTCACTGAACATATATTTAGTCAGGCGTGCACGATAATTTTTAAGATTAATCCGTAAGATTGTAAAACTGTTAATGGTAAACATTTGAAGATTTTTATTTTCAGAATATTAAAAGATCGGTGGATATTCAACAGTTTAAGTATAATTAACAACATTAAAACGCATATTTAGTTCTTAAAATCACTCAATGAATCGTTTGCATGATTCCAAGAATTCAGAATGCTTTAAGAAATTGCCAACTATTTTAAGTAATTGAGAGGGAGAGTTTTCCAATTATTTCTACGCCCAAAGGTAAAAATGTTTATGCAAGTGTACATTATATAAAAAAATAATTAAGAGTTTTCTTATTTTTTAAGTATGTTTCTTTAAATAATTGATGTCACTTTGAAGAATAAAGAGGATTTTGTTTTCTTTAAAAATCATTCTTCTAAGGATAACTAAGTGCTTCTGAATCAATAAAAAAATAATTTAGTTGTATAGTTTTTTATTATCATTTATCAGATCATACCAATTGATTCTTTCCCTTTCCCTAAGGCTTTTAAATATTTATAAAATTTAAAATAAAAATCTTGTTAGGTTCGTATCTTGCTTTTTAATCAGATGAAATCAAAATCAAATTTCTGCTTTATAAAGTTGCAACAGTTTAAAGTAACAAACAAAAAAAAACAACCAAAACTGCAGTTGGCTTTTCAGCCTTAAAAATGAAATACTATCTCAGTATTGTATCAACTTTGTACACCATTCTCTCTTTTTTTATCAACTTTTCTTGTTCACTGATTGAATTTTTGATGGCTTTCAAGAAAAAAGTAGTACTTTTAATTTTTTATCTGCAGATTTAGTTGCAATCAAGGAAAAGTGACAGAGTTCCGACAGTTCAAGGTATTAATATTAACAACAGAGGTCTCCGTGTTGAACAAGAAACTGACACAAAAGTTGATAATAATCTAATCCAACTTCTCGAAGTAAAAAGAAATGTCTCGTTCGTAACTGTCTTTAATCCCTTATTATTTATTAGTTTAACTCTATGGAGCTTAGCAAATACGGCGAATTCATTAAATAAAAGAACTCGTTTAGTTTAGATTATTATGCAGATTTTCAAATGATTATTTTATTCTTAACAAAATCTTTCAGAAAGCAATATTTGATCAATCCCATCGATCATTTTTCAAGAATGTCGGGGAAACATCAAAAATGAATTTCATAAGAGGAACTAAGTTGAATTTCTGTAAATACTTCTTGAAATTTATTGAAATTTGAACAAGCAAATTATTTCGAAAAGTTTGTACATATCATGATTTGTTACGTGATATAAAGGATTCTGATATTTTTTGATTTATTGTCTTACGATAATAAGAAACATTTATTTATTACTTATTTTATCTTGTTAATGGCATGTTTCCGCTTTTCGCTTCCGATCAGAAGAAGTTTCACTTCAAATGGTTGCACCAAATATTCTGATTTTGATTATGATTAATGAGCTCAAGAGAGATTACATTACTCATCTTAGAGCATCGTTAAAATGGTGCAATTTCCGAGAACAGTTTAAAGGTCTTCTTTTCTGGATCATAAATATGCTTGAACTATTATTAAGCAATTAAATTTTATTTTCACACCTCTACTCTTTATGTTCTTATTAAAATCTTCATTACATTACCCGTATTATAACTTCAAAGTTAAAAAACGAAGAACGATAAAACATAAATTGCAGATGAAATTGTTTCTTAAAAAACAGTAATCAAAACAACTTCCAACACTTCATAAAATTATAATATTTTCAACTATTTTATGACAAAGAAACTTGATATAAACATGTTTGTACATAAATATTTGGTTGAATCACACATTCTTTCAATGGCGAGAACATAAAAAAAATTACAAGAGAATCAAGACTAATTTTTGTTGTTTGTTTTAGCGGAATCGACATCCTTCATTATTCAACTTTTTTAAAGTAAAAAATCGAGTCTCATTGAAAATTGAAGTCGGCAAAATTCAGCCAAAATTGAGAAACTCTGAGAAAAACTTAATGTTTGTTTTGAAATAAGAACTTCACAGTTTAAAAAATTATTAAAAATTACAAAGTGAAACGAAAAATAAATATATTTGATACGTGAATTGCACATTGTGCAGCTTATATACAAGATACTTATTCGAAGTGGTATAAGAGGATTATGCTTTGGCGGCACGCGTTACTTCTGCTCAAATCTGTTCGACTTTAGGCCATTACGAGTCGCAAGTCGTTTATGTTTATTGCTAGTAATTTTTTTCTCATTCTCGATGTCATGATGTGGATTTTGTGCCACAGATCTGAAGGCGAAACAAATAATTGGAATAAAACAGTGAGTGAAAAAACTGAATTTTATGTTTATTCTCACCATTCAAAAACAGAAACTTTTTATCGCAAACACAGTTTGAATCGATTTGAAGCAGAATATCTCAAATTTTTTCAATTTGCTAAGACACTTGCTTTGGGCGGATTATTTGGTTCCAATTAAGTTAATTTCTACATTTACCCGACATTCTCACTTTAAGCTGATATTTAAAAACAAACTAAACTTTAGGTGTTATAAATTGTAATTGTAATGACTGATAACTTTAAAGCTCACAAGATGAGGACTCGGATTTTCGTAGTTTTGAAATGTATGCAGAAGCTGTAGATTTATTTACTACTTAAATTATTTAACAAATTGTTTTGATTTACAAAAAAGCAAACTTAATCAAATTCCATGTATTAGATTTTCAAGAAAGGGAAAGAATGAAAAAATTGTTTGCATTAAAATTTTGTAAAGTAGCAGCATATAATTACGATGAAGAGTAAGTGCTTTTGCAATCATTCAGAGGTGAAAAAATAAATTTCAGTCGTTCATTCTTCTTCTTGCTTGAGAAGAAACAAGTTAGATATCCCAGAAGCAATTTAGATATAAGCTAACGACTTTTTTTTCAATTTTTGGAGAATAAAAATTTAATTGGATGTGTTTTAGGTAAGTAAAAATGAAAGAAATTTAAATCCATTTCATGTTTGTTCGCTTTTTTATTCACATTTTCATCCCTTTCGCCTCAAGGATTTGTTTGTTTAGGGTCTTGAGATAAAATCAATGATATGCATTGTATTCTTTCATACTCAAATTTAATTAGATAACGATAACTCAATAATGTCTGACATAAAAACTAACAACTTTCTTTTAAAGAAATTTTTGGGACCTCACCAAAATGATTGAGGCTGACTTTAAAAAATTTAAAATAATAATCATGGTTTAGCTTTGACACGAGAAATATTTGTTGTCGCCTGTCCAAATACAGATACCGATCAGTGATCTTACGTAAATGTTAAACGATTCGTGTTTTCGTCCTATCCTCTGATGTAGGTCTTCATTGAAGAACAATAATTTGTGTTGTCTGTGAAAGAAAATGCAGTTAAGAATATATGAATTTGCATAAAGTAATTTCTATTTTCTTAAAACGTCAACAAATAATTTAATTAAGCTTTCAAATTGCATGGGATAAAACTAAATGTCTTAATTTCTTAGTTCTGAGTGAAGTCAATCGGGATTTTTTATTATTTTCATCTCATGGAAGGTTTGCTCTGTTTAAAGTTATCTGTAACCGGTTTAAATGAAAAAAAAATTGATAAGTTACTTATGTATGTCATTGACAGCAAAGTGACTAAACAAAATATAAATTTCAGTATTTACAATCCTTTGGTAATAAATGTATCGTAATGTGAGCATTGATCTGAGTTGGTCAGAAAAAATAATTAAAAGAGAAGGAAAATAAAGATTTCTTAACAGTAGTAGAACCACTTAAATCGTAAAGTTGCACAAATTTAATCCAATTTCAGCTCTCGTGGTGGCATAAGTAGTATGTATGCAAAGAATCAAAGTTAATTTTGACCAGAAATTTTACGAGCGTCCAATTAATTTGCTTTGTAGAATAATGAAATGAAGATATTGAATGAGTTCGAAATAAAAAAGAGCTTTAAAGTGTAAAATTTAAGTGCAAGTATAAGAGTTAAACACTAAAATATTAATCTTTCAGTAATTTCTGAAATGTTATCAATGAAAATATTTGGCAGATTACTAATAATGTACATTTTACGCAATCTTAAAAGAAATATAATTGTGGGGAATTATTTTTATGATAAGAAGACATCAGTGTGAGTAGTCTAAGTAATTTGTGTTGTTATTATACCATTCTTAGTTAAACTTTAAACTTCTCTGAAGTAGAAGAGTCTGAGGAAAACTTTCTAATGGAAAATCTTACACTTTACTATCATCCTTTAAGGTTTGACAATCCTTGATAATCAATTTAGGATTTTAATGTTCAATTAAATTATATTTTTATTATAGCCCACCTTGCCGAAGTTCAATCATGGTCGCAAGAGAACTTAAAATAGATTTGAAATTAAAGTTTGTTATTTTTTAGTAGATTTTAAATCTGAAGTAAGAAATTAGTAAAATATACTGATGAAATTTTACTTCTATAATTGTAGAGAAGTTGATTTCCTTAACCATGGAGAAAAATCTGAAAGTTTTTCTAAGGTAATAACGATAACCTTGCTTACAAACTTAAATTTAGACTATTTTTTAGATCAATCCAGCTCAAACTATTCCTACCTTAGTTGATAAAGACATAATAATTTGTGACAGGTATGATTTATTAAAAACTCATTCTTATTATTTCTGTTACCAAGACGCTTTAATTTATTTTTTAGTCATGCTATAAATATTTATTTGGTAGAAAAATATGCTCAAAATGATTCTCTTTTCCCAAGCAAAGATTTGATTTTAAGAACAAAAATTATCGATCGAATGTTTTTTGATGCCAGTTTTTTGTTTCCAAGAGGATTTTTTGTAAGAATTGTTTTGATTTGATTAGTAAATCCACACGCATGAATAATATTTATATACTTAAAGGCTTCAGTAATATTTCATGGTAAAGCCGAGATTCCTCAATATAAAATTGAGGGAATTCATCGAGGCTACAAAGTTCTTGAAAAATATCTGGAAAAAACCAAAAATATTGCTTCTGATGATTTAACTCTTGCTGACTTATGCCTCTTTGCATGGATGGAATCAATTGTTCAGGTTATCCCAGTATCTCCAAATGTCTATCCAAAACTAACTTTATGGTTGAAGCAAATGAGAAAATTACCATATTACCGCGAAGCTAACCAAGCTGGTGCTGATTATCATATTAAAGTTTTCAATGAAGCTTTAGCAAGAAATATCAAAAATAAATTGTAATAAAAATCTTTTTATTTTATTTAATTTACTATGGAATTAAAATTCTAACAAAATGTTGATTTCTTGTAAACATTTAGATCGAACTCTATTTTAAATATTTGTGACACTGAAAATCACATGTTTTAAATAAAATCAAAGAATATAAAATAAATTTGTCATTTTTCTGAAATTGTTAAGACTGTGATGCCTCTTTTTTCAGTTCGTTATCATTTAGATTTTCAGCATGAAATTCTTTTTCTAATTGAAGCTTTTGATTCGTCGGTACGATTGCTTTTGACCAAAAGCATTTATAAACATTGTAAAGATGTTCACAAAAGTCATCGGAAACATCATTTTCAATACAACTGTCAATGATGTCACTGACCTATATTTTGAAATGTTTTCTTTTGTTTTATTCTCTTGTCCCATTCTAAAATTCAAAGAAGAAAAACTTACACCATCCGAGTTTTTAACGAGAAGATCGACATAATTCATCATGTTGGTTTTCTGTGGCTTTTCATTAATCCAGAATTCCATGTCGTTAGCCACACATTTTAAGAAGCACTAAACATAAAATGTACAATTTTTTATGAATAAGTAAATGAAAATAATATTTTTATTCATATAAACTTCAGCTTATCTGCACATATTTCGTACCTTTGTTGCTTGATTGGCTTTCGAAAAATCTCCTTTAATAAAGTTAGAAGCTGATAAGTAATCAATTTCATGTTCTTTTGCACATTTTCTGATAGCTTTAAATGCGATCGACTTTTTGTGAGTTTGCGCGGAAATGGATAGTGTGAAACATAAAATTATAATTGCAAGAACCTTCATTCTGAAACACTCAAATTAAACTGAAACATTAAAAGTAATTTAAATAAACTTTTATATGTTTAGAAGACGAAAAAATATTTTTTATTTTGTAAAACATTCAGTACTTGTTGCTTTGTAATTAAATATTTCAATAGCAACGAAACTGCTTATTCGTTCACATTTTTTGCTTCATCTTCAATTTGTTTTGGGATGATTTCAGACTCGTTAGGAATGGTTTCATTTTCATCTTGAAGACGATCAAATTCGAAAGTATTGTAAATTGAAAACCGAGCTGCATTAGCTTCACTTGCTCTTACACCATCCCAGAAGCATTTGTAGGCTCGGAAAATGAAGTCACACTCGTCTGTCTCCCTTTTAGTATCATTTTTACATGTATCTATGATTTCACCTGCCTGAATGAATGCAAACATATATTAATAAGACACAACACAATGATCTTGAATTTCTTTTCTCACAGGAATCGAATCTGATGCCACAAGGTTAACATATTTGAGCAATTCTTCCTTTTGGAACTCTCCTTCAGGGCTTACAAATTTAATTTTGTAAGCAAAACATTTTAGGAAACATTTAGCGGATTCAGTGTCTTCTGAAAAATCTCCTTTACTGAATTTAACTGCGGTGTCGTAACTGATGCCTGTTTCAGCTATACATTGTCTTGTTGCTTGTCGAACAGTAAATCTTCGAATTATTTGACCCTAATAGAAATTAAGGAAAATTTTTATTTATTCCATAATGTTCTTTGTGTGAAACTCACCGCAACTGTAGAGAATGCAACAGAAACCAAAAAAACAGCAACACAAAATTTCATCTTGGTAGAGTAACAAAAAAATTTGAAATGAAATCAAACATGAGTTTGTCTTATATACAAAAATATTTGATCAGTTAAAAGAAAGTGGGGAGAAATGATTCTTGACGGGAAAGTTAATAAGAAAACCTGAATTTATGCTAATGTTGATGCCCAAATATGATATCTTATTAGATTCTTTGAGGGCTTTGACCACATAAATGATCTTGCATTTATAATGAATGTAAACTTATAAAATTCATGAATGTAATTAATTCAACATTTTAAAAATTATTACCAGTAAGAATTTCATAATATTTATGTTTCAATTTATTTCCTCGTTTATTTCTTGTTTATTCTTGAAATAATTCTTTTTTCTGTGAAGTTGTAAAACTCTCAGCACAAATTTAATGTTTTGCAGCAAACTGTCCGGGCCAGGAACATTTGAATATTTCGTAAGCAGTTTGACAATCGTCATCGCCCTTAATTTTGACACACTTATCAACAATCGGTTTAACGACATCTTTCTTCAAACCTAAGCTCAGCATTTGTGTCAAAATAACATCTTCCTGAGGTTCACCTATTTCATTCATAAAACCTACTCGTTTAAAGAAACATCCAACAAAGCACTAAACATTAAAAAGAAAATATTTTAATTGGAAATTGTGCACGATTTAACCACAAAAGATTTTTTACTTGAGTTTTTTGATCGTTGACAGAAAAGTCTCCAATAGTCATCCTTAAAACAACATCTTTTGTAACTCCAATCTCTTGAGCGCAGTGTTGTATATGCCCTTGAAAGGCAATTCGGAATTCCTCTAATTTCGTCGCAAGCGTATTTGGTGAACCCTGTGAAATTTAATTTTTTATTCACTTGTCAGCAATGATTTTGAAATTTTATTTACATTTACAAACGCAAAAGTACAAAATAATGCAAGTACAAGAAGTTTCATTTTTGACGCTTAGAACGAACAACTGTTTGGAATAAATTTAAAGAACTGATGATTACGATCAAAACGACAAAGCCTTTTATTGGAAAAAATCGCCCAACCGTCATAGATATTGGTAGGTACTTAATTGTTCACTTCTCCTTGCTAATGATGAGATGATTGTCTCAAGATGTTAATAACAGCTCATTATCCAGATTTTTTCTAAAAGTCCAGGGATTTACCAAGTTACAATTTGCGAACCTAAATATTAAAACGATCTTGATGAACCTCTGCCATATGTTATAAGATAATTAAATAGAATATTTATATAATGAAGTGCTCTTATAATCAGATAAATGAATCAATTGTTTTCGTAGTTCTGTATCGAAAAATTAAACTTTGAACGTCAATAACAAATGCGATTAGGTCAAACTTAAGAGAATTCTCAGAATGCTTTAAATGCAATTTATTTATAGAATTATTTTTACTCTAAGTATTTATTCATAACTCTACATTTTTTCTGATGATCTTGTTGTTCATATAGCATTCGAGGAGCTTTAAAAGACAAAAATATGGAATAACTACGCAATTCAATATTCACAACATCAATATTCAAACCTTGAATGCAGACTCGCATGGATCTTTATATTTGAACGATGAACATTTTTTAAGAATTTTCAGTAATGCTTTCCTATTAAGTTTTGATGATTCTGCCAGAGATTCAGCAATGTAACCGACTTGAGGTTCATCTGCTGTATCAAGAAATCCTTCTCGTTGAAAAATGCATCGAACAAAGCACTAAATTCATTTTATGATTATTTTAAATTCTAATTGTTTGATCTTTTTTACCATTGCTTCATTTGTTTTTAAGCTTAAATCACCTAAAAGCAACTTTTGAGCATCATCAAGACTAAGTCCAGTTTCTTCAGTACATTCTTTAGTAATTTTCGTTAAAAAACTGTGCCTATCTTGAGCTTCTTTAATCTCATCTTTTTGCTGAAAGGAAAATAAAGATTAAGTTCTTGCAAATATTGCTTATTCAAACTCACAAATGCAGCGATTAATGAAAATAAGCTTAAAACTAGAAAAATAATTTTCATTTTTATGAATTTATGTGATGTTGTTTCGCGTTAAGGTTATTGAATACTGTCGAAATTTTTCAATATATTGGCGTAATAAGATTTTCAAAGCGATAATGATATCTACGACTTTGTTATCGTTCATGATATATGTATTTGTTTGAATTTCGAAGGAAGTGACATAATATTTTATCAAGTTATCTCCAACTAATGATGACGAAATCAACAGAGCTGTAATGGAAACGATTTATCTTCAAATTCTTATTTTATATTTTGCATGTTCACACACATTATTTATTCGCCCGTTTCTTGTAACAGAGTGTCATTTATGAATCTTTTTTTTCTGCAGCCGCCTTGGCAGCAAGAATATGACCCCAATAGCAGTTGTGAACTTTAAATGCTGTTTCGTCAGCAGTTTCACCAGATAATGCAGTGCAGTTTTCAATGACTGCGGAAATCTTAGCCTTCGCTTCGTCATCCTTTCCTAGTGAAATTTTCTCAAGCATCACATCTTTCTGCAAGACCCCATCCTCATTCATGAAACCTGTGTAGGTGGCAATGAGTACGAAATAATATCACAAATAATATCATTCACCTGTTCGTATAAAGAAACATTTCACGAATTTTTTAGCTGAATCTGTATTGTCTTCAATGACAGAGAATCTATATTTTACACCAGATTCATATTCCAAACCGACTTCTTCAGCACAGATTTTTGTATGTTCGTCCACTTTCAATTTTTGTTCTTCTGTTAAAGCCTGAAACAGATAAAAATATTCTGTTATAACTTGTATTTCATTTCAGTTTTTTAATAGCTCCAGAAAAGACTTTTGTGGTAGTATTGAATATTTGAAATTTCTAGAAAATATTCTTCTCACCTTGGCTCCAACGAACACCAAAAATATTCCAAAAATGAACTTCATGATCAAATATTATTCTTAAAGTATCCTTTTCACAACTGATGCAACTTTTGTTAAATCTTCGGCCTTATATAGTTTTGCAAGTTGCATACAACAAGTTTCAGTTTCTTTTTTGCATTCTTAATAAATTTTAGGATAAATTTAATCTGCTAAACATTTTTTATTTATGCATGTAATTTTTCTTTTTTTAACCCATACAAACCACTTTCAAAGATTTAAGATTTTTGCATATAATAAGAGTCAATAAATATCTAAAATTTATCATTTTCAATATTCATTAATGGGTTAAAATGGTTTTAAAATGCTGATGCCCTTTCTTAAATAGCAGAACAACCAACCAGTTTTAACAGAATGACTCAGTGAATTCATTATGAATTTATAATTTCTCAGTTTCTGTCTCTAAAGATAGCACGACATTAAATGAGATTAAATAGCAGCATAGCATAAAGTCTTTCAGTTAAAAAAATTAAGAACAGTTTACAAAATAATAAGCAGCAAAAGTAAACTATTGAGCTATTCTACTTGTGCTATTCTTTGTAATATTCTTTGTTAAATTACAAAATTCAATTACAGAAGACTTCAAACTTCAAACTTCAAACTTAATTTCCATTCCAATAATTTTTATTCACTCTCAAACATCAATTTTCTTCTTTATGTTTAATTTGACAACAGCACGTGATTGTTGTTGCTTTTCTCATTCGATTAAAAATATGGAACCAGAATTATTAATGATATGATAAGTCAAGGGGTAACTCACAGTTGATACAGAGTGTCAATCGTTTTAGTTAAAATAAAAGTTTTAACAAAAAATAGGCTCAAGAAATTTCATAAAATTTCTAAAATTTGCTAATTTATTCCCTATCATGAATTACCCCTTTAAAAACGAGATGAACAAACAGGAATTTCGCTTTCTAAAGTTGTATAAAATTTATTTTCTGAATTATTTTTTATTCGGATTAATGAAAGTAATTTAGAATTGCATAGCAGTTCTATAACATTTATAAGCATTGAAAGCTTTGTTACTTGGTGTTGTTCCTGTAACATCTTTGCACTTTTCAACCACAGCTTTAGCTTGTTCCGTATCATTTCCAGCTGACAGCTTTTCAATTATAACATCTAATTGTTGATTGCCTTGATCATCGACAAATCCAGCTTCACGGAAGAAACAAAGAGCAAAATTTTGTGTCTTCTCTTCTTCATTGCTAAAATCCCCAGCTTTAAGTTTTTGTACAATTTCTGGTGATACTCCAGTCTCTTGGATACATTTTTCAATGTAATTTTGAGCTTTTTGTTTCTGTTCTTCAGTGAAAGGCATTGCTGAAGCGACAGCAAAAATTCCAAAAACAGTCAGAGCGAAAGAAATCTTCATTTTTAAAATATTGTTTATTCTAAATAAAATCTTATTTTAATGACTTCTTCAAAGTAAGATGATTTTCACGAAACTGATAAAATGAAGTTACAAATCGCTAGAATTTATAGCAAAAATTACTTTGTGCATTTAAACAATTGTTTTAGGTGGGGAAATGTTTACAAAACAAATTTTTTAACATTTTCACACATTACTTGAAAACTTAACAACAACATTCACTACTTCCTCAAGAATTATGCCATAAATCTTTCTGAATCAGAATTTTGTAGCTAGTTAAAAATTCAATTGATTGATGAGAATAATTTTTAATTAAATTTCAATTAACTTAACATCATGTACTATTTGTATATTTATTATCATTCTATTTGATTTTTCACATCTCTAGTCTAGTTCCTAACACGTGCGACACAAGTTTTTAAAGTTTGTATTTTCAATAATTACGCTCTTTATGACTTACATACCTGAAATTTTATTATTATTGATCAAGTTAAAGCTACAAAATTATACATTGTATAATTATAATGTCTATTGAATTTACATATGCTAAATAATTATAATTTGCTTTGCAATACGTATAAAATATATTTAATTTCTCTTTTTCTATTCTTTAGAATTTGTATCTAATTAAAATTGAAAAATAAAAATTATCCTCGAAACTATTTACCAGAATGAAGTCAATATATATAAATATATTATAAACACATGTAGATATTATAACTACTGATAGTGGATGATGATCCTCCTAAATACGAAGATAATTAATCGCTGTTTTTAACAATCTAATTCAATTAATTTCAGAAAATACTAATAAGGCATATGAAGAATGTTTTCTTAAAAAATAACTTAAGTATTATCTTGATACGTCATTTAAGTAGGTACTTAATTATGTAGACATTTTTTAATCAGCGGCTATTTTAAACTGTAACATGACCAAGTGTTTTTATTAATTTTCACACGCCACCAACTTTTTTACCTATTCAGCGGAAAATATTTCTATCATAAAAGTTATCCGTTCATGTGATTATTGATAACAGCAGTGGTGTAAATGCAAAAATAAAAAAAAATAATTTTCTTGCTTCATTATAATTTTTTTTTGTATAAAATCGCTTAAGTTTAAAAACTAATTAATGATTTAAGGAAAAGGTGTTGGACGAGAGAACGGTGCTTGGTTATTTGTACGAAGGAAGTATCTTCCTCTTAAAGCAGTTGAAGTTGTTGCACCCATATTGCCAACAGGAGCAGCATTGTTACAGTTATTAGCTAAGAAACTCTCCCAGTTAGCACACTGAAGTGATGGGAAAATTGGGCCATTAGCACGAATTGATTCAGCCCAAGCAGTTACAGCAAAGTTATGTGAACACGTTTGAGCAATGGTATTAATAGATGAAGTACAAAATGGTTGAGCTACTCCACCATTAACCCAAAAGCCTACATGGCCAATTGATTGATGATCACCAAATCCAACGCCTTCAGTATGTACTGAATCGACGAAAGCTGCATCAGAGGAGCTTAATCTTCCCACAAGTGGAATCAAGGGAGCTTGAATTTGACCAGGGTCAAGTCCAGTGAGACGACCAACAACTAATCTATTATTTGTACGACCCTGAACATTTCTACTAGCAAATGCTTGAATTTGTGCACCCAATGAAAATCCAACAAGATGAAGTCGACTAATAGGAAATCCATTGTCAGCCAAACGAATGTAGCAATCTGCTAATGCTCCACCAAGTTCTCGAGCATTTGTTATGGCATTAGTTGTTACACTTGTGTAATAAATAAGAACTATATTGACATTTCCAACTTGCAAGTAAGAATTTATAACATCACGAACGGTGTCAGTATTTTCAGTTTGAGTGAATCCATAATGATAAAAAACAGTGTTTCTTGCAGAACTGAACGATGGATGACTAACGATAGTTTGAATATTTGTTATATCGTAGAACTGCCATTGGTTTGCACTGTAGGCACCAAATTAAAATTTAAATTCATTTAAATCACTTGAAATTTTAAAATTACCCAAAATAGAAACGAAATCTTATATCCTCTGCTTGACCACTAACAGAGTCACAGAATAAAGCACCTAAAAGTAGAGCTGAGATGAAACCTTTGAGAAACATTTTAACTATAAGTTTGTTACAGAAATGAAGTTCTTTATTAAAACGAGCTTTTATAAGTTCAATGAAAAGCAATAAAAATCGTGAAAATTTATAACTGATGATGATAAAAATGGCTCACGTTCTGGACACTTTATCAATTTATCAGCATATTTTATCATCATTAATAACTTAAGCATGCGTTTCATTCATTAATTATTAATCGGAGTAATTTAAAATCTTTAAGTACATTGATAAATTTTTATTATTAGAATAAATATCTAATCATATCTTGATATCATGATTTATTGCTGTTTCATATCCCTTAAGATTAGAAATAAAAACAAAGCAAAAAAGTATATAAGAAATGTTTTTACACCATTTTACATGTTTATCTTTGCATCTAAATAAAATTTTCCATTTAAATTTTGATCTACATAAAGCCCCATGTAGGCTACGGGAGTTTTATCACATCTGCCAAATTTGAAATCATAGTAGTTTGAACACTTGTAAGCAGGAAACATTTGATAATTTTTCCCTTGAACAGAAGCTGCCCAATATTGTGGCGTCATCAAATGACTACAAATTGACGAAACTGAAAATTATGTCAATTTTAGTATAATTCGTAGCAATTAAAAATTGTCGAGAAAGAGCTTACTGATAATGTTGTGTGATGTACAACTTGGCTGTGAATAACCACCATTAATCCAAAAGCTTACATTCCCAACGGACATCGGACTTCCAAAGAACTTTGATTCTCCATGAATGATATCAACAAATAAAGCGTCACCGGCATTAAGGTTCCTTATAACACCACCAAAGAAAGGTGGAATTTGTCCCGGATCTAGTCCAGTAATCCTTGGAATAATGTGCCTACCTTTTGATATCTTAATTAAGGAACGACCAATTGCACCAGATATTTGAGCACCAAGTGAAAATCCAATCACATGGAAATTACCATATCCATTATTAAATAATTTCTCAAGACTAGACGCAATGTAAACTCCAAAATTGTTTGCGTTCTGAAAAAACAGATAAAATTGAAATCTTAAAAAAATAATTTAGTTGGTAAATAATCTTACGATAATGTTGTAAGCTAAGATTGAATTATAGTTGACCAGAATAAAATTAAAATCACTATTTGCAAGATACGCTTCAACGATTTTGCGAACGGATGGTTGATAAACAGTTTGGGTAAAACCGTAGCTATAAATAGCTGTCTGCTTCTGTCGATCAAATTTCGGGTTTTGAAGTATTGTGTAGAGATTATCTACCGTGTATGATTGCGTCGAATAATTACTTATACATACAGAAAAATTTTGAATAATTCATTATTGTTAAGTGTCATTAGAAAAATTCTCTTACTCGCTGATGAACTCAAATTTTATCAAATTTTTTATGCCTGATGACTCACAAAGTTTTAAGACCGATACTAGAATAATGAAGACTCGAGTCATAATCATAAAATATTTACACAACCGAATCTTTGGTATATGTAGACGATACTGAAGCTTAAACTTGACCGAATAAATTTTTGCGTTAATAATTTAACACGCTGATGATGTTTCTAGCAAACTCCATTAGATATTTGACCATGGAAGCTAGCAAGTCGTGTCCGCGTTATTATTTTCAACAGAAATTATCTTGTATGAGAATTTGATGTTTTTTGTGAAAGATTGTTGATGAATAATAACAAACAAAACTCGAACTCTCGAAATAAAGATTCCTGTTCGAATCAAAGGTCGGCTGCTTACGAAATGATTTACGATTCACATTCTAATTTAAGGTAGATATGTTTATAACGAAAAACTTTTCATTTCCAGCCATAAACATCGACATAATTCGATCCAACTTTCCATAAAGTCAAGCATAAAGTGATAATTTGTTGAGAAGATAATGACTTCTAATTATTGATTGCTTGTGGCTATTGAATCCGGAATCACACCTTTTTTGTTCTTAAACATGTATTTCCGATCATCCCAAATGAGCAAATGTAAAAGGTGTTAAATTCCATAGCGGAAACTAAAAGCAGTTCATTTTAAAGCCATTAGGAAATAATTTATGAATCAGGTAAGGCGCCAGGTCCGAAAACGATAAATTAAAATTTAATGGATTGCGTAAAAATGAAATTCAAAATATTTTGCGTAAGATTTTTGATCCCATCTTGTTATTAGAAAATAGAAATGATATTTGATTCATATTAAAATCATCAGAAAAGATTCTTTCGATTTTATTGGGTCATCCAAATATTGTTATTAGTGGTTTTTGGACTTCCTATCTTCACGAAAACTGTGCCACTTCAACAGCACTATAAATTTTGTTGATTCATTTGTCTGATCCCAACCGCAAAATCTTTTGACAAATGTTCAGTAACAGTTATTTTGACTATCATAAATAATATAAGAACGAAAGAAGAAAAGTGGAATGAACATGACCTTTGAGTTGATTGTGTAATCAAAGTTTTAATAATATTTGTTCGTTTTCCGTGTTTTCTCAAACTTCAATGTATAAATATCAATAAAAAGGATTTGTAAAGAATTCAAAGCGAGATTGAAAAAGCGTGTGGATTGGATTTAAGTGACGACTTGAACTTAAATTTATTTATATCCGACAAATGAAGGCAATTCTTAAAGTGTTTCGCTGACTCAACAACATAGTATGTAGATATATGAGAAATATTACAATGCTGAATCAAAACCAACACTTTATTCTCCTTTCAAAGGCCATAAATCTTTATTTTTAACTGTTTCGACCCTGACTGAGATGTTTCATATCGATGCAAAAATTTGAGACGAATTGCAACAACAAGTAAGCATTACGCGTGCCGTTTGAAAAACTTGATTTGAAAAACGAAATAAATAATCTGCTTGAAACGTGAGGCGAAGAAAGCGAGAAAATCAATGTACATACACGTTCTTGACTCATAAAAAATTTGTAATTGGAGTTGCATCAAAATATTATGCACTGTGCACTTGTTCATCTCAAGCAGCGGAAGCCTGCAGACGGCGATTTCTCATAATTTGTTTACGAATAAAATTTTTAAATTTTTATCGATTTTTCATTACCTTCCATTGCCAGAAGATCCGCGCACGACTTTCAATATCAACGAAGATGAATGCTTTGTCAATGTCGTTAAAAGCGTGGACGTTTAATCATCAAATTTAAAAGTGATACGTCTCGTTGCGCTTTGGTATTTTTAATAAACAATTAGGCGGTTCAGAATAATGACGAAAAAAATTATTTTATAAGAACTTCAAGTGAAAAGAAGGCTTTCGTTGTTTGCCGAAGGACTTAGGTTTTTTTTTCTTTCTTATTAAACGCGATCAGGTTATTACAAATCGATATTTTCAAATAAGTGAGAATGGTCTGTACCTCGCATCATATAATTTTCATGATACTGTGAGAAGTCAAAACAGGTTCATGTAAATTCGCTTGTAATGTTTGAGAACATAATTGGTTTGTTATACGAAAAGTAAAAGTTAACAAATATTTAACAACGAAAGTGATTTTTGACTTAATATCGAAAACAGTGATGCAATTTGCATGGAAATTTGAACAAGGGAATGTTACGTATTTTATTTTAATATGTACATACAAATATCTGCATAACTTAATTAAACATTGCGCACGTATCTGATCGATTTATGACTCGGAATAAGCATTTAGAATTATCACTCCAAATAAGGAATGTTTTAAAGCCACTTCCGTTTCCGATTTTCATTTATTTCGTTTAATTATTTTTTACTGGATAATTGATTTAATTTTGGTAGAATTTTGCAAAGAACTTAAAATTTACATAGCGACAATAAAATTCATTCTGTAAACCATGTCGACACATATTAAAATTTTATTATAATCATTTGTCAATTTCCACTAACCACAAACAATGCTTTTGGTTAAGAAAATTTTTTGATTTAAAATTCTTTGAATTTTTCTTTGACAATGAACTTTTCTGATATAAGCTTTCCAATCAAATAAAATGGCTCCTCAACAGTTAAATAAAACGTAACGGATACTAATAGTGCTAGAAAAATATCTTGAGCAATGTAAATTGTCTGAAAATTAAAAATGATTAATTATTAAATTGAATTCTTTGTCGATAGACATTTTCTCACCATCATTGAAATACTTTCAATGTTGTATTCATTATTGTTGAATGAAATGATATTATATTGAAGCACGGGATGAGCCAAATAAAAGCTCAAACCGATTTTTCCAAAAGGAATCCAAAATTTCTTTGATAATATTTCATTGATGACACCACCATTTCCTATTTGACAAACAAAAATTATCAAAGCTGTTGCTGTACCCCAAATGATTCGCACAGATGTGAAAAATAACGCATTCAATGCTATATTCTCTCCTAGTAAATCATAAATGTATGAGATGAAAGTTGGCCCCATAATTATGATCAACACTGAGATTACAAATGATGATTGAAATATCTAAAAAAATAATTTATTAAATAATTATTGGATTTAAAAATTGATCTCACCTTGCTTTTCGGCATACAAATCTCATTCTTCATATGTAAACAATATCCTAAAATAATTCCAATTAGATAAACTATTCCTCTGACATGAGTTGGATAATAAAATGTCGTCATAAATTCTCCATTGAAATCGTCCAAGCTAATGAACCAAATAATTATTTATAAAAAAATTAATGAGTTTATCACAAAACAATTCTTACAAATCATTCTGTTTTACGATGATGTTTGATTCGATAGCCTTTTGATAAACATAAACTGAGGACATCAAGATAAGACCAATTATGAGAATTATAACATTTTGTCCATATTTCCACAAAAGATATACAAGAATCGGCGCAACCAGTATCGTCATTTGAAAATCTACGGAAAGATACCAAGTGGTGTGCATACACTGAGACAATGAAATATAAATTAATGTCAGACAAAATTATATTCATTAATGAATAAACTTACAAGCTTGTGTGGGTTTGTGTAAACTTGTAAATGAAGTAATGTTGACCACCAATATTTCTGACATTTTTGCACCGAAAATTCTAAAAGGGTGCTAGAAGATTCATTGAATAGAGCATATGCCAAACTCATATTAAATAGGATGACAAGAGCTAAGACAGGCGTTATCCTCATAAAGCGTTGGAAAACAGTTTTATAGTAAACAAATTTTTTTCTATATTAGAAATAAAGGTACAGTGAAATTAATAAATTTAATTGAATAATATGCAACAGACTTGTCAAGTTCTTGAAGAGCCGTTCTTGTAGTAAGCATTGCACTTATAACAAAAAAAGTATCCACAAAAATATTCAAGGCAGATATTGACGACGCAAATCTCGTTTGCAGAAATTTTTCATTTCTTCCTTCATCCCGATATGGTATAATCAAACGAAAGAAATATGAATGAAGAATAATAATACAGAGAATTGCTATTCCCTTTAATCCACGAGCACTTTTAATCACTTGTTTCGAATTTTCATTCAAGTTCATTAGCTTTGATCCATTTGAGTATAACGAGAAAGCCAAAACGTATTCATTTCTCTCTTTTGAATCGTCTTTTCTGGTTCGTATGTCATAAAATGTTGACAAGGTTTCAATTATCCATAAAATAATAATTGTGATTCTGAAACGAAATTTTCGCTGTAGACATTAATCAAGTTTTGGTTCTTAGTATTTAAAATATTTACATAAATAAATTTTTTATGATCCCTAAGGATTCTATTGGCAACCACCTATTGCTATCTTCTTCTGCTGTTATTAGAACTTTATGAATCTTTTCAACATAATTTTCATAAATAACTTCTGTTGGTGACATTTCCACTAATATTGTTTCAATTTCTATTAAATTCTTGTATTTTATTTTATTTATTCGTATATCTAACCTTTAGAAAATATTTCAATTGTTTTTGAAATTTTCTAATTTTTTTAATCTTTAGCACAGTTTTGTCTTGGAAAGTTTCTTAACGACTGAAGAATCAAATTTATGTTTTTTCATGCCAAGTCTATGGGCAAGTTTTAAGAATAAAAATAATTTAATTCTTTACGTAAAAGTCACTGAAGCTTGTTACGTTCATATCGTCAGTATGGTGGGTCTTGCTTTCAGAAGAAGATATGTATAATGATACTAATTAATTATCACGGGCAATCACACGAAGTGAATGAGTTAGTCAGCAACTTTTTCCACTGCGTAAAACAGTACGTCAAAAAGCTCATAAATAAATATAATTCTGGACGTCATCTTTCACCTCATTCATATCCACATCTTATCCACATCATACTATTTAAGACAGAATTAAAAGTTCTCTTTATAATCTCAATAATTATGTTAAAAGCAGATGCACAAATCGAAATGATCATTCCAATTCATGCGAAATGAAACCACCTTTCGATTCTACGTTTGTTGTTATTTTCTTGCATTGCCAGTTTGCGAATACATATTTTTATGTAAAAACGAAATAAATATTAATAACCTGCTTACGTTTGAATCCATAAAGCTAGCAACAACCTTTTCACCTAGAAACACCCTTTCTTCAGAGAACGCAGACTTTCTACGATATAAAGAATTAGAGTGTTCAGATATTTGCAACAACAAAAGCAACAATCACAATTGACAATCCTTTCATTTTACATCCCACAAAATAAAGCAGAAGGTTTAGCGAAAAAAACTTCATAAACCAACTCCTTTCATTGTTGTTTATCACAGACATGACAAAAAGGACTGTGAAATTTTATTATGAAATATCATTTAGTTTCAAGATGAAAAAGTGAGGCTTTGAATAAAATCACCTTTCTTTCTGTAGCACTGGCAAGCAAACTGACATAAATTCGAATACGAGAACAGAAGAATGATCTAGATGGAAATATATTTTCATAAATATCAATGAAATGTTAAACCAAATGAATATTTCGATTCGATCTCAGGACAAAACGTTACTTGTTTCCAAAAAAGGATAAGAGAGAATAATATGTAAGAAAAGGATTGTTATTGAACTTTCTTTTCAATATCTAATTTTTTTTATGCACAAAAGATTGTTTGAAATTCATGCATCTGCTCGAGTGACTCGTGCTTTAAGGTTTTGTTGGTTTATAAAAAGGATTTTTTTGTTAGTCGGCGTTTAGACTTTTATTATTCACATATTTGCTTCATTTTTATTGTTTTGCGATTGAAACTTGAAGAGTATCAACAACGCAGTTGTTTAATTAATTTGATTCATCAAGTAATTCTTCTGAATGTTGAGATAAGTTGAATAATTTTTGAAAAGTGAAATAAATTTTATTTTATGTTTCAAGACTTGGATAAGACTTTTCTTATGTGAATCTTGTGCTGATAATCCCGTCATTAAAATCTTAAGAAGCAAATGTGAAAGCAAACAATTTTATGATATTTAATTTACTTTGCACACTTAACAGTCGATCTGAAAACTAACAACCGTATTAAGACAAACATTAACACAAAGTCACTCAGCACTTATCAGACGCATGGCAAGATTTAATGTGTTTTAATATCTGAAATGATTGCAGTGCTGATTTCTCTTACTTTTATGTTTTAATTTTCGGTTTCGATGTTTATCGCGACTTGTAATCATTCTAACAAACACTTCTTTGAACCGCTTTTTAATATGGAAGTAAATATTTATTTATTATCCCTTTAGTGCTCTTGCAACATGCATAAGTACTTAAATACATACACATGAGAAAGGGATGATGCTTAAGGAGAAACATTAAAAAATTTCACGGCTACGAACGAAAAGAAATTGAAATTGAAATTGCTCCAACTTCTACTCATATTTTAAAAGAAAAATTAAAAGAAGATGATGGCATGTCAAATAAGCAGTCTTGGCAACGCTTCTTCAACGAATGTTTTGTGAATTTTTTAATAATTTTCGTTAAGTTTTGTCATGGCGAAGCGCGATGGCTAAAATGCTACAGTATAAATCAATAAAACTGTGATACAGCGTTTGATGCACAAATTCATAGCCGCTTCTTTACGTTATGCTTCGTAAATATTTTATGTGAAGTTTAACGACCGTTCAAATGTCCATAATTATTCAGTTTCGGTAATTTGGAACTAAGCAGCCTTCAAGGCGAACAAGTGAAAATGCAAATATTTATACGCTCTTACGACGAACGTGGAACGATCACAAATAATTTCTGTTATTACGAGGACATCGTTTCTGGTTCTTCTCTGCACTGCTGGTGCATACTTTTGGTGCCATGAGAAATCGCTTTTTTCATATTAATCGATTTAGGCATATGGCAGGTTGATTCCGAAAATACATCAGGCCGAAACATAAAATATATGATGGAACACATAAATTTATCTCTTACATCGTTCCAGCATGATAAGATCCAATAAAGACGTTTGACAAACGCTTGGCCATTAAACATCAAATTGCCACGCGACTCTCTACAAGTTTTTCTAATTATGAATGCATCTGAGTGAGATGAATTTATGGAAAAAAAAAATTCTTGCAATCAGATGATCTACGTCATGAAACAAATGTTATGGAAAATCAAACGTGAAACAAACAAAGCAAAATTTACTGGCGATATGATAGCCTTAGGATGAATGTGAATATTTACTCACAATAAAATAATTTTACAGAGTAATTTGCCTTTTTTAAGTTCAGCCCATCACGCTCATACATTATGTCAAATATGATCAATAAAACGTTAGAATTTGATTGAGCACACACGACGAATGCTAGAAGCGATTCAAGCTTCTGGATTGCAATTGAAGGGTTTAATCTTAATTGACTTATTTTAGAGCTAAGCTAGAGGCTAGGGAGCAGTTATTTAATTAATTTCATTGCAATGTTGAACATGAAGCCGCCCTGTTTTATTGCCTTTGTATATCAAACGATTAAATTTCGGCAAATCCATCAAAAACCAATTTTTGAGAATCCTTCAAGGTATCTACAAAATTTTATATTTCTAAGAAAATATTTGAAATCAAAAGCCATTAGTGCGTGAATAATAAATTAACTTTTACTTCTTGCTTGCTTTTATGTTGATTGCATTGCAGGACATGAGAAACTTCCAAGAAAATTTTATTTTCAAAGATCTTTTACAAAGCCACAAAAGGAGATGGACACTGGTTTTAAATACATTCTAATAGAATATTTATTTGAAAATAATATTTTGTTTGTTAAAAGGCGTGAACTTCTGAAAAGGCAAACGCATTGTTAGTGTCGGTCAATTTGACGGCTTCTTTGTCAAACTGTGCCAGATTTTCTTAGTTTTACTTTAAGTTCCTTAGAAGAGGTTTACTTTGAAAACAAATCTAGCCTTTTGTCATTCTTGAGCAAAATTCTTTGCACATAAAAGACTCAGACTTAAGAAAAGGTGATAACAAAAAGAAGTTAAATTCCGCATGTGTCTAACATCCATTTAATTATATTTATTACTCTCATTTCTTTTTCTGTCTGTTCAGATATTCAATTGGTCATTTTTGTGTATTTACAAAAAAGAAACTAATGATTGCATAAAAGGACACAAAGGACAGACGACGATAAGTCTATTGTTATCACTAGTTTTGTCTCAGATGTTAACTCGATATCCGTCACTAACTCAAAGCTATAAAAAATTACTCATCAGGATTCAGAACGACCACACCTTCAAAATGAAATTCATTCGAGAAAAATTATTCACGCTTCCATCGGCAGATTTTCTATCTGTTTTAATCGATATTATGCTTTAATAGGTTTCTGTTAGATAAGTTTTTCGAAACTTCTCATCAAAGCCGACATTAATTTTTACGCATGAAACAATCCATTATCCTTTTAGACGCATTTTTCTACACAAATTTATAGCTGCTCACACTATGTATTGTTGATCAACAGATCAACACCGAATTCCTAAAAATATTTGCTTTTTCTCTTCCCCCAAACAAAGAATTTAGAATTTAAATGCAATGTCAGTAAACAACGAAACTCATTCAAATTTGTCATCGTACGACAAGACTCGAATAGATCAGTTATCTATTCATAAAGACTCATCAGATTATATAATAATGAAATGCAATTTTCTGAACGATGATTTTCATTGTCATAAATTTAACGAGTGTTAAGAATGAGATCAACAACAACAACATGCTTTTATCTCATATGCATTCGACGATGCATTTCACAAAGAAATCATTAATTTTCAACTGAATAAAAGGTCTTACATCAAAACCGATTCACCTAAAAAAGATTGAGCTTGAAGAGTCCTCAATAGATGTAGACAACAAAGGGTTTTCTTTAACATCCACCGCATGAAAACATCATTTAACAACATTAAGAAGCATCAATATAATAATTTTATGCAAGATTATAGAATTGGATTTGTGTCTTCTTCTTTCTATCTTTTCGGTCAATTGAAGAAGTCCTCGAAAAGCTCCTTAAATGTTTCGGCTACAAAAGATTTTTAAGTCATCAATAACCTCTCTCGAAATGATGTAAGGAGAAAGAAAGTAAGCGACCTCTCATCGAGTGGACATATGTAGTGAAAGCGGTAAATATTCAGGTACAAAATTCCTTTCTATTTGCATAAATGACTTGCAATGGGTCGACGTTTGTCGGAGAATTTTCTGTGAAGTAAATGCTTGAATATTGTAGTTTAAAATTTCGACATTTTATTTGCACAATCATGACAAAAGTAAGCATCTATAGATAGTGTTAATGTAATCTTGCATAAGCCTTTCACTCAATGGTTCATAGTAAATAATGAAATCAATATTTTGCAGAAGAATTTCTAAGAAATTTTAAATGTAAATAAACTCGGAAATTTTCAAATTTTGCCTGAAATATTTTTGAAACAAAAAATTGGTTTCAATCATGGACAGTGTCTCGACGTGTGTCTCTTAATAATTTAAAATTCCGTCACCGTAACAATCATTATAGAGATTGACTTTTGATATTGAAGTGAAAGGGCACTTGTCGACATTTATCTTTTAACAATTTAATTAATTCTTTCATTCATTCTTCATTCTTCTGATTTCATTGAAAGAAATCAAGCCAACTCGTCATTCTTACCCTTAGAAATTTCACAAGAATAAAATGTTAGAGTTACGAATCGAAGGTTATCTTTATGAGCTCATGATAAGATTCATGAGGAAGAAAGGAAGAAAAAAATTAAAAATCATACAACGGATAAAAATAGAAACAGGTAACAAGTTGCAAGCCAATGGAGTGTTGGGGATAAATGTGAGTTCTCGATGTGCCTTAAAATTCCGTCATAAGTCTTATACTCTGGGGTTCTTCACAGTTTGAAAACATGCAATGCAATGTGACAAAATCAAACAGTATTCGAAAAGAAAACTAAAAACTTGGGTTTGTGGTAAATTTCTTGTCAGTTTGATTTAATTTTTTTTTTCATATCTAAAAAAATTCATTAACTTTCATTTTTATAGCTTTAAAGATTTGAAGTAAGAGAGACTAACAAGGATAAATTTAATAAATCATTTGATCAATTTGATATCATTCCTTTCTTCTAAATTTTGAATGGAAGAAAGAAAATTTTGCCGTTAAAGATATAGATTTATAAAAAAGAATGAAAATAGAAAAGAATGTGTTGATCAACCATAATATGATGTCTTTGTGATGTTCACAATCTTTACCTCACATGCAAGGCGATCAATCGTTCAAATAGTATTGAAATATATTTCGTAATTTTATTCCATTGTTCACAGAAGTAGAGCATAAAATCAGTAGAAGATTGATGGCATTCAATTGTTTTCCACATGCTTTTGACGCAGCATGGAACTGTTATTGCTTAAGTAAATGGTACAAATTTTATTGGCTTCTTATCGAAGTTTCTTCGAATTTAAAATGCTCTTTTACTGTAGAATAATTAATAATTACTTAATGACTCTCAATGTGCATCCGCCATTTGATACAATGATCAGTGGTTGCCAATTTCGTATGTTTGTTGAATGAAGAGATTAAAGCATTGATATTTTATTGCCTTAATGTTTACTTTATGTCTTTCTTGTCTCATGATATGTGAGGTCTGTCGGAGAAAATACATTAAACATCCTAACTTATTCCAATTATGTTCAATTGAGTTGAATTGTACAATAAAAAAAACTTTATGGCATCAGCTTGCTTGTATCTCTGTCTGTATGAGTCGTGTGACATGACTTAGGCCTTGACTTAAGCTCGATCAAATACATTTTTTACTACAAACAATAACTAAATTAATATTTAAAAGATTCCTAAAAATAATATCATGCCAAGTGCTAACATTTGTAGATGTCGAGCACCATAAGCATTGATTAACATCACAAAAGTCAGACAGAATTTATTTTATACATGAATTATAATTTCTACCTATTCTATTGCTACTACTTATGTTCATGATTTGAATTACAATTCTAATCCACACTGTACGTGCCACTATATTTTTTGATGTTAAACAAGCTGTCGAGACTCATTTGCAATTTTTTTGTGAAAGAATTTAAGGGAATTAAAGATTTCTTTTTATAGATTGTCGTGATGTCAAATAAATGAAGTAGATTAATGCCCTTGTGACCTAGACATTGGAAATTAAGCTACACAGAAGCTACTTGTGTTGAAGCAGAATTAATTTTTTTCTGAATTTATTTATCTCTCAGATTTCTTTTTCCAAAAGGCTCAAACAAATTCTTCCAATAATATAAAACAATTTGCACAGACTTCTGGATGAACTGTTTAAGACTGTAATTAAAATATTATACTTATGCATCATAAATAATACAAACTAAAAGTTTTTATTTCAATTTTATTTCCATTTTGTTTTAATTTTAAATATTTATGTGTGATGATTGTTATTTAATACTCCGCGATTACATTTATGAATCAATAATACGTTGAATATGTATAAAGAAATAGTTATGCAGCTGGAAGACTTGCAATGTTGCTGAATATTAATTGATATCACCATAAATTCGTTTACTGTCAGTGGATTAATTACCAACCATCAGTTCATTTATAGTTCATCACAAAGAGAAACATGTTTTCACCTTAGATAATAAATATTGAATATTTGTATTGCAAAACATATATTTGCACGATAAACTTAAATTGCAGAAGTTTGATTGCTTTTCATTGTTAAGTTTTCAATGAACGCCATCATTCCAAGACTATTTAGTAAATACTTTATTATGAAGTAAAAGAATAAACATTTGCACAGACGATCTACAACATAAGCACTAAAAAAAGAAGCAAGATAAGTAAATAAACTTTCAATGACAAATAAAAATTTATAATTACTCACATTTTCATTTGAATTCTTGCACGAGGAATTGTTGACAGAGGTTCTTTCAAAATAAATTGGCGTGCTCCTAGTAAACAATTCCTAAGAAATTCATCTTCAAACTCATCTGGGACGACATCTGTATCGATAAAGAACATTTCATATTCTTCAGGTGATAAATTCTTATTTAAATCTTTAAATTTTTGTGATAAAAACACCCATTGCCGCATTGTAAAGAATTGTAGAACTTCTAAGCCTTGACTGATACGATTCTGAACATGCAACATGCTAGAAAAATATTCATCGATTGTACTTCATTAAATATTCATAAATTTGTTTTGAAACTTACAATCTTTTCTGCATAAGACAAAACATCAGGAAGTCAATGAAATATGCGGGTAACCAGTGGAAAAGTGCAACGTTAACTTTCTGAACATATTTGTTCGTTGTAATTGTACCATCTGGGTACCAAAGTCCCATTTCAAGTGGCGTTTCAAAATTTATTTTCTTTGCTTTCTCCAAAATATACTTCATGGTACGTTTCTTTGTTTCACTTGCTGTTACATTAAAAACTTCAACATCATTTGATCTGAAATTAAACTGTTTAAGTGAAAGGTGGAAGAAATTTCGAGCTTTTTCGAACCTTTTTTGTTGCATCGCGATTTGCTTCGCTATTATAATCGTTCCATTAATAGCTATGTCAACTGGAACGATTTCAGCATCTAAATCTCCATCTACCAACATTGATCTGATGACTCCCTTTGCTGCTCCAAGCATCAGACCTGCTGGTCCATTCAGAGAATCAACCCAACCAGGCAGAGGTTCTTTATAAGCGGGAACAACGACAGATGGACGAATTATGCAAATTGGAAATCCTTTTGAGTATTCATTTCGAACAAGTATTTCAGCCAAACGTTTCGTGTAAGTGTAAGTATTTGGATGGCCTCCCATCACTGATTTTTGCATGCCAGCCATAGCTTCTTCACTCATCCACTCTGCACATCTTATCAAATCTTCAGGATTATCTTTCCATTCAATGATTTTTTCTTCTAAAATCTCTTGTTCAACGCAACAAAAAGCTGTCGAGAAATGAACCATCAAAATATGATTTGGCATCATTTTAGTGATGTCGATGACATTTTTCGTTCCAGTTAAATTCATCAAAATGTTTGGTTTCAAGGTCGCTTCAAGTTTGAGAGATGCCGCAACGTGAAACACCAAATTTGATTCAAGCACTTTGTCCAAGTGTTCTTTGCTCAAACCAAGCTTGGGGAGTGTAACATCACCGTAAACAACAATGATCTTCTTCATTACGTGAGGCTTCTCATTCATGATTCTTTGAAACATCTGTAGAAAAAGAAATTAAAAGATCGGGAAAATCCAAATGGTCAAAAATTGAACTTTGTGATATTTCGAAGCGTCTTAAAGAAATTTGCAAATTGCGTCTTACAGAATTTGAACGCTCACACATTATTTTTTTTCTATTATTGAACTATTGGTGATCATATATGGCTTATGCCCATTGAATGTAAACATAGTTTTCAAAGACTATTTTATATTACAGTAGAAGCTCTATAAGCGGAAACTGAAGGGGGTGGTCGTGTGAGGAACTTTTCCGCTTTTAGGATGGCTTTTCAATATGAATGAAGTTGAAGGAGGTGGTCATGTTTGAAGCTTTTGCTCTCATAAAGCTTCCGCTTATAGCGCGTCGACTGTATTTATTTTTTTGGGAACAACCAAATACCTCATTTTTATAAAATAAAGTCAAAAAATGATGAACTTACTTGAATATTTTGAAATCCTGCAACTCGTTCAACTTCAGATTTGCCTCGCTTTGGTCTCATCAAAATGATGACTGCTTTTAGTTCAGAGCATGAATAAAGAAGCTTTTCAAGCAAAACCTAGAAAATGTTTTTGGTTTTTTATGAAAAAAAAAACAAAAACTCATAAACCTTTCTTACTTTTCCCATAAAACCAGACGCTGTAAAATAAAACGCATATAAATGATAAGTAATTTCTATCAAAATAATTATTAATTCACTTAATTGTACCTCCAGTAATGAAAATTGTTTTGTCTTTATAAAACTTTTGAATAGAATTCATGTTGGTCATCTTTCGCTGTAGACACAAGATATTAGTATCTGATAAATATTTTAATATATTTAAGTATTAACAACAAGCTTAAATATCGTAACTAAGTATGTTTATAAACAAAAAATTAATGTAAACTCCAAAATTTCCCGTACTGTTTTAGCCAAAAGACGGAGAAGTAATGAAATGCTTAAACGCGATTTCTAAGTCTTTTATGGTCTTTCTCACTTCACATCAATATTTGAAAATGTGGAGGTAAGCTCAATTTAAGAAATAAAAAATCACCGAAATTCATTTGACCATTTGAGTCTTATTTTCTCTTAAATCATTTTTGTTTTGAAATATCTTTTGTTTGGGTATGTGAGATTCCACTATTAAGTAGCTCGGTCTTCATAGAACGTAGGAAGATAAGGTTTTCTTCCTGTTCTGCAATTTGTAATGACAATTTATGATGAACATCAACTCGTTTATTGATTATTAAAAATTATCTTTATTAACACTCAATAGTTTCTTAAAATATAATCTTTTGATTAATTAGTTTATTAATTTAGCTTCTATGGATTCTACATTAACACGATAGTGTCGTTTTATTTTTATTCGTGACTTAATTTACAGATTGTTCAGTTATAAAATTAGCAATGAAATTGTAAACAATAAGAAATTACTTTCACTATCCACATAAAAATTTCACATTACCTTCAATGAAACATACACATTGCAAATACATGTGTGAAGTTGAAGTAATCTTATAAAGCTACGTTATGTACCAATGGTAGTAGCTTCAACATGAAACGAAGAAAAAATCTAAATTAATGCTCACAAACACTATAAACTACAATTCGCTTCTACAATAGTTTTTTATTTATTTTACGATGCTTTTACGATGGGTCAATAAACTCTCAATGTCCAAAAATACGCAACATGAATTTGAGAAGAAAAAACATCAATAATAGTTTGCAAATCCGATCCGCGAAATAAGCACTGGAAAAAAAGAAAAAGAAGAATTAATTGATCAAATTAATGCCAAAATTAAAATTTATTGAAAACCACACATTTTAATTTGCATACGAGCACGAGGAATTGTTGAAAGCTTTTCTTTAAGAATGTATTGTCTTCCACCAAGCAAACAGTTTTTAATAAATTCATCTTCGAATGAATCAGGAATTGCTTCAGTATCAATGAAAAACATTTGATACTCTTCCGAAGAAAGATTATCATTCAACTTCTTGAAGTTATTTGATGAAAATGTCCAGTTTCTCATAGTGAAAAATTGTAAGACCTCCAAACCTTGCATAATTTTTGTTTGCATACGAATCATGCTGCGAAATCATAATAAAATTAAAAATATAATGAATGACATTGAAAAGTACATGTTAATGATATTTACAAACGCTTTTGTCTCAAACAAAACAAAATAAGATCAATGAAATATGCAGGAAACCAGTGAAGGAAAAGCACATTTATTTTGTGTACGAACTTATTCGTTGTTATTATGCCATCGGGATACCAAATTCCTATTCCCACAGGAATTTCAAAATTTATCTTCTTTGCTTTCTCCAAAATATATTTCATGGTTCGTTTCTTTGTTTCACTTGCTGTTACATTAAAAACTTCAACGTCTTGAGATCTGTAAACGGAAAGAAAGTATTAAGCAGAACGATGAGGTCATGATGATGATGATGATGATTTCTTATGATTTAATTATGATTTTCCAACATAAGAAAGTTGAATATATTACATCATAGTTTCATATTAAGTATGAAAGTTGTAAAATGTTAAAATAAGTTGAGTTTTACAGCATAATTTTGACAACCTTACCTTTGTGATGTATTAGCTACTTTTTTGGCAATCAAAATTGCTCCATTAATAGCTATGTCAACTGGTATGCCTTCGCTTTTCGAATTTCCATCTACCAGCATTGATCTGATGACTCCCTTTGCTGCTCCAAGCATCAGACCTGCTGGTCCATTCAGAGAATCAACCCAACCAGGCAGAGGTTCTTTATAAGCGGGAACAACGACAGATGGACGAATTATGCAAATTGGAAATCCTTTTGAGTATTCATTTCGAACAAGTATTTCAGCCAAACGTTTCGTGTAAGTGTAAGTATTTGGATGGCCTCCCATCACTGACTTTTGCATGTCAGCCATTGCTTCTTCACTCATCCACTCTGCACATCTTATCAAATCTTCAGGATTATCTTTCCATTCGATGATTTTTTCTTCTAAAATTTCTTGTTCGACGCAACAAAAAGCTGTCGAGAAATGAATCATCAAAATATGATTTGGCATCATTTTAGCGATGTCGATGACATTTTTCGTTCCAGTTAAATTCATCAAAATGTTTGGTTTCAAGGTCGCTTCAAGTTTGAGAGATGCCGCAACGTGAAACACCAAATTTGATTCAAGCACTTTGTCCAAGTGTTCTTTGCTCAAACCAAGCTTGGGGAGTGTAACATCACCGTAAACAACAATGATCTTCTTCATTACGTGAGGCTTCTCATTCATGATTCTTTGAAACATCTGTAGAAAAAGAAATTAAAAGATCGGGAAAATCCAAATGGTCAAAAATTGAACTTTGTGATATTTCGAAGCGTCTTAAAGAAATTTGCGAATTGCGTCTTACAGAATTTGAACGCTCACACATTATTTTTTTCTATTATTGAACTATTGGTGATCACTTATGGCTTATGCTCATTGAATGTAAACATAATTTTCAAAGACTATTTTATATTATTTAGTTTTTGGGAACAATCAAATCCCTCATTTCCATAAAATAAAGTCAAAAAATGATGAACTTACCTGAATATTTTGAAATCCTGCAACTCGTTCAACTTCAGATTTGCCTCGCTTTGGTCTCATCAAAATGATGACTGCTTTTAGTTCAGAGCATGAATAAAGAAGCTTTTCAAGCAAAACCTAGAAAATGTTTTTGGTTTTTTATGAAAAAAAAAACAAAAACTCATAAACCTTTCTTACTTTTCCC